ATCTCAAAGCAGATCTTGTCTGAGCCAAACAGGTTCATTCTACATAATTTATACTCAGTAGAATTTCCAGTGTATTTTTGCAAATGAGCCTTAAAGAATTTCTAAGCCATGCTTGAGTTGTGCTGTGTATGTACAGGTGTGACAGGCAGTAGAAACAGCTTGTATTTTGGGGTTCAGCATTGTAAAAAATTGCTGCTGATAATAGTATTGGGGGAAGGGACTGGGTAGTATAACTTCGAGATGCTTGCTGTGACAAGGCTGGGTAGATTTGCTGTAAGGTTTTTGACATGGCTTGCGCTGGTCACAAGTTTTGGGGTTCTTCAGAGAAGGGAGATGTTTCTTTTATAATTTGCCAAGATTTTCTCCACTCTCATGGCTGAACTGTTACTACTCTGTACAAGGAGTAGATCTGAAACATCAGCCAGCTCTGCCTAGGAGAGATTACAAATCCAAGCAACTCGACATGGGGACATCCCCATTATACAGACAGGGGACCCAGACACCTGACTGTGCTGGGACTGTGTCTCTGCTACCAAGCAGGGCATTCCTTTGTGTCACGGCACTACTGAGGGGGGTGCAAACTCCAGGACTCTGGGTGCCCCACCGGCACCTCCTGAGTGACTTGCCCATGAACAGAGAGATAAGTGGTGGCAAGCAGGGAGCTGAACTCAGATTCCCTGTGGCTCTCTCTAAAGCCTTAGTGTCAGATCATCTTAACCCTTTGTTCAAAGAGAGTGGTTTTGATACCTTCATTGTTGTTCTCTTTTTTTCCCCTTCAAATACTGAGTTATTAGATTTGGCAAATGAATATCAAACATACCACCAGCAGTGGAAAGTTTGGAAAATTCTCTTTTTATTCTGCATCAGCAGAAATCAAACCAACATTCATCCTCCTCAGTACTACTTTTATAGGGAGTACTGTCTATGAGAAGGAAGTCATCTTGCTGACATCAGTGAGGCATTCACCATTTTGTACTGTTCCTTGAGTATAGACTGATACAGAGAAAATCTCCAAACACACATGTACACGCATGTTTTTTTGCCTGCTTCACTTTTCCAATTGCCATCATTTTCCTTACATTTATACAGAAGTGACCCAAACTGAAGATTCATTTAGAAGATAGTGTGTTCCTGGGACAAATCATGCATTGACAAAATGGAGCATATTCTAAAATGACAGAGATAAATGCATCATCAGTCTTTACCCTCTTCTTGCTTCATACACCACAGTGTACAAGGGGTTTAGGTTGCGTTTGTATTTTCTGGAGAATTCCCTGTGTCAAGGAACTGTCTGTTGTTCTGCTAAAGCAAATACCTAACTTCTAAGCCAGCACAAAGCACAAGTAACAATCCAGTATTGGTATTCAATATGTATATTTTAAAAGATTAAATAGCCTTTTATTATTTGACTGACATTTCATATATGGTCTCCATGCTTGGTTTCTCCTCCCTCCCTAGCTATCATGTGCAACAACATCTTAACATACAAATATATAATCTTCTCAACAAGCCACTGTATATTTCCTGAATTTTGTCTCATCTGTGTCAGTACACATCAAGAGTTCAGTGACAATTCTCACCATTTACACCAGCCTCTGTGCAGTCAAGAATCTGATTCACCAATTCTCCCTACTGCAGAAGGGAAAAACAGGGCTTGCATAACAGTTCAAGTTTTTATCTTTGAAGCTGTAGAGCCACAGTCTCAGCTGCTGTATATTGCTGTAGTGCCCTGACTTTAATTTTAGCCACCTGATGAGCCTCTCCCCCTTTCCCCACACATTTCCCTGCCTTGCTAAAGGGTGGTCAGGTACAGATGACACCTTATGTGCAGTGGAATCTGTACCGTGAAAATCAAACGGGCAAATACAGAAAATCTAGCAAGTGCCCTTTGTGGATTACACGGGTAAGAGAAAACTATGGCACATACTCTGGAAAAACAAAGAGTGTTCTGTCAATTGCTTCTGTCTGGAGGCATGGATGGAGTCCCTTACCTATAGCAGTGAAAAGAAACTCTCCTGTTTGTAAAAATTTGCATTGTGCTACATAAAGCAAGAGCATATCTGGGTTTTGATGGGTGCCATGGCAACAATGTTACTGGAGTATAGCATTGGAGCATTTTCGGAGAGGGGGAACAGGATAAAACAAAGAGCTCACTGTGGAGTCAAGGACTTTTGCTGCAGAGCCAAAGACAGATTCTCCTTTTTCTTGTTCACGGGTGGCTATTTACGGTTGCCCCCACATTCATACTTTCACTTGATACTGCAGTTGTCCAGAAATAATGAAAAAATGGAAAACCCTGCTACAACTAGAAGGACAGATATTAAATGCAGTTCAGAGTTCCATTATATTTGCATCACTTAGGAGAACAATGCAGAACTACTAAAACCATTATGGTTACTAACAAAGAATAAAACCACAGGATTACATGTTCAGTAAAACCTATGCTTAAGTACCATAATTGCTTTAAAAATATGCATGTAGAGAACAACAGATAACCATGGTTCTGCTTTTGTTCTGAAATAACTAATTTCAGCACATTTCACCTAGGAGTGAATGTTCCACCTTTATTGAGATCTACAAAACACCTGCAGTTCTTTTTTAATTCGAATAGTCTAGTGTCAGTAAAGAGGTATTGAAACTGGAACCTCATTCAGGTTTGTGCTCTGAAATTTGAGTGCAAAGAGAATAACTTAACACTAACAAATGACAATATAGCATAATACTTACTGCAATGGCCAGGGAGAAAAAAAAAAAAATGCATTAGAGGGAAGTCAGTCTTAGTATTTTGTTCACTTTAGCAATTGGCCAGAGCCACATCTCTAGGTCTTTGCACACAATGCATTATTCAGTGTCTTGCCTAGGCAGAAACAGTTGCAATATCTGAGAAACAGACTTTCATTCTCTAATTTCAAGCTAAAGTTTATTTAGATTCTGATTTCTTAACAAAAATCAAACTCTTGCAATGCACTTTTAGTCCCTCATTCCCAGTCACTTTTTAACTTCTTGGCCAATTTGAGAGGAAGGTGGAAGTTTTAAAGAGAGTTTGTGGATATTTCTTGTGAACGAGTGGCTAGAATATTTCAAACCCTGGAAGGCTAGAGTTAAGGCTCAAAAGTGGTTTTAGACATAAGCAAATCCAACCAGGAGAGAGCTACAGGTCATCAGGGTCTGCAGATCCAGCTGCTTAGGGGTACAGTTTTTTTACCAAACACTCCCTGTTCTCATTCTGCATTACTTCACAAACTTTGTTTCATTTCTGCTCAGATGGTACTAGTTTATTTTCTGTTCACGCAAGAGCATTCTTCACCCTTGCAGCCCACATCTTCTGCCTTCGTGTTTCTTGCTCTCATTTTAGATCTGTTCACACATCCTGCAATGCTTAACATCATCCTTGGGCCAGTGAAGTTTGCTATATAACTTACATTTGTAAATCCTTCTCACAATGTTTTATCGATTGTGTGATACATGACAATGATCTGAGCTTGTCACTCTTTTGTATGATATCCTTCAGATGACCTGGTGAATTCAAGGGATGAACAGTATGTGCATTATTCTCAAGGAAAAAATTACCAGATAAGCCAGCTTTACCATGGCATTTTACTGTTTTGTAATAAGATAAGATTTAGGAATCAAAAGAATGTCTAACAGCAAGCAGCATGTAAAAAACAGGAATCATAAAAGGCAGTATCTGTTTCTTTGAGATTAGCAGGATAAATACTTAAGTCCAGTATTTCATAGTTCAGAATGAAGGAAAGATTTATATGGCTCTACTTTTCAGACTTCTTTGTGGCCCAGAAATAAAATATGCTGCCTTCATACAAGAATCTGTTGGAATATATGGCTGCTTTGTGCAGCTGAGTCCACTGTCTTTAAGTCATAGCTACATAATTACTCTAAGCCCTATACTTTATCTCCTTTAACAAGCTTTCAATTCATTGAAGATCCTCCCCTCCCTCGGTAATTTAGGTTACTTAATAAATTACCTATTTTCACTTTTCACAGGGTTGAGAACCTTGGCTGTGCTACATATTGGATACACCCTTGAAATACCTTTAGTAAGTCAAACACCACAGCAAATGTCTGGGTTCCATCCGTTAATAAGATACACCCATGGGCTGTATGAAATAAAGCCATATTCAACTTTCTGGTTCCTCACTCTGTGTTCAGAAAATATTTCCAGCCACTGCACCTACAGAATGTTCCAAGTATGAATAAAGGTTAGAAACACAGGTTCTGAATTCTGCAGGCAGACTGTAAAAATGGTAGAGAAAGGTGCAGCTTGCATCTCCTTTTAGCCTTGCTGGCAGGTCAGCTAAGAACAGTTTCTGTTTCGCTTAAAAAGGTATTTTGCACCTTTCACACTGAGCAATCCATGCAGCAACAAAACCCACAAATAATTATTGTTGATCTTCATTGTGAGTCTCCCACTAATTTTAATAAGCATGATTCAGAAGAGAGAGGAGAATGGTATTCAAAATACAGATTGTAATACACAAAACAGGGGATTAAATCTCCCTTACTACATGAATTGGATACCTGAGAAACCTGGGTTTATTTCAGACATTGCAGCAGAGTAGCTTTTTAGCAGATGTAAAGATTCAAGAAACCCACAGCTCTGAAGTCTCTCTGACAGCAGCTACATAGTGCTTGGAACTATGAATCAGTGTAGGTGACATAGTAATGACTTAAATTACTGAGGTAGCATAAAGCAAGATATTTTAATAAGCAAGGTGATCATTATGGCAGACTACTACACTTTCATACTGCTTGTGTAAGTTTCTACCTATTCATAAGGTATTTAAAAAAAAAGAAAGAAAAGATGGTGATCAGCTAATTTAATGTAATGTGCTATGCCATTTTGTGCCTACTGATGACCAATTCTCTCCAGGCTCCTGGCACCCAAGAGGACAGTATACTTTCCTGCCTGGTCTTTTGTCCCTGAAGAGATGGGAGATATGTGTCTGCTACTGAGGACCTGACTGAAAAGCTTGAAGCAGAGAGAGCAGTTCCCCCGTCCAGGTGAGAGCCACAGCTAACACCACCTTAGCTTGGTTTGCAGAGCTTCAGGTTTGAGTAACACCAAATGCTTTCTCAAACACAGCTCTCTGCACTACCTGGCTCTCCAACACAGAATATTTCAGACCTCTTCCAGTGTAGGCTGGGACCATGGGTCAGTCAACCAGCTCAGAATATCAGAATGGCTCTCAACAGTCTGCTTCACAGGTTAATTTGTACAGACAATGCTTTCTTAAAGTAGCAGATCCAAAAAGGGTACACAACAAACTTCTCATCAGGTCAAGCAGATGAACTCTGCTCTGGTTGTTAAATTTTACAATTGCATTAAATCTGTTTTTCTGCACGTGCTGCATTTCAGAGACTGAAACGCTGAACAGCTCTCTGCTTCTTATGCCACTGTAACAATGCTTCTTTGGTTGCACAGTTTCCTTCATACACGTGGACCATCTTCTATCTACATGTTCTGCAAGAAGTTGGGCAGTGATTTTTTTTGAAGCACATTGTTTCTTTTCACCCCTCATGACTGTAATACCTTTTTTATCACATCATTTTAATACCTTAACCACGTGTCCACACTACTTCAGAAAGACAAAGAACATAGTGTTTGTGGCTTATAAAGTGAAGCAAGGGCACCACCGTTAGGTAGCACACAGTCACTGGAGAAAGCATTACTTTTTCCATTCATCCCAATTGGGCTGTGGCTATGGTGCAGCAAAACTGTGGCCGAAGATCTGATCACACCCCAGAAACAAGCAAGCACTTGTTGGCAAACACATGTATTTTGAGCATTCCGATGTTCTTACTGAGTACTTCAGCAAATCCAGGACAACACACGGATTTTGCCAGTAAATGTTATGAAGAACAGAAAAGATATACCAGCTCTCTGCTCCTTCAACTCAAAGGCCCAAAGCTGCTTTGAACTTCTAGCATTCTATCAACATAATCAATTCCACCACTACAAAATAAGGCAGTGGAGATGCATTACAGTATATAATGAATAAATCTGAGTATTGCAACGCCTCTTTAAATATTTGTGGAGCCACTAATATCAAAAACAGCAAGAGTCAGTTTATAATCACATGGCAGACCTGTGTGCTTGTAGTGAGAAGTCTCAGAAGCTATTACAGTAGCAGTGAAACAAAAGGTTCAAAAGAAAAAGCATACAGCTAACAGAACTATTACTGGCCTGAATTTCTGAAATCTGGGTGAGATTGATTTCTTCAGAAACTTTTCACAACTTTGGATTTTTTAATATACCACTCAGGCTGAGTTATTTACAGCTTTACCATCTATAGCTCTGCATAAAGAACATGGGATGGTGGGAGGAATCTTCCTAGTGTGTATTTGTAGGCCAGGTTCCAGTAGCACTTGAAATAGTCACTGACTTTCCCTGACCCTGCTCAAGAGAAGAGAAATTTGACTTGGGGCATGGGAGAGGGGAAGTAAAGTGAAGGTAAAATTAAAAAATTTCAACAGCATTAAATGTCAGGATGCTTTTGGGGATAATTAAGTAGTTCCACTAAAGAAAACCCACTCCCACTTCACAGAAGAAAACCCCCACTTATCAGCAGGCATTCACAATCTTTTCACAGTCTGTAATACTTCGGAGTAGGCAGTTGTGTATAAAACTACTTATCTCTTCTGTTAAAACGTTACATTAATTATACAAAAGGGATCAGGAGACAAAATTGTTAGCTTATTTTAATTATTATCCTGCACAGTCACTTCACTAGAAGGGAAAGCATCTTCTGAATAAATTTTTCCTTTCAAAAACTCCACTGCACCTTCATTTGTCATTTCCTGGAACTTCTTGTTCAGGACCTGGCAGAAAGGAAAAGGAAAGGGTGCATTAGTTTTATTGCCTTTAGCAAACTATCCTGTCCCAAAAACCAAGCGCTCACTGATGGGAAGGCCACAGGGAATTGCTATATTTTGAAAGCAAGTTGATTTGAATCATTCATTCTATAAAAATCAGGGAAATAAGCCAGTCACATAGGTTTTTTAGGTACAAAGCATTTCAGTGGCTTGTGTGTTAAGTGGTAGCCTGTCTTTTAGAGTTCCTCTGTCCTTTCTCCCTAGTGACACCACCACTACCTTCTAAGTAGAGATGATATACAAATACCATCCTGGAGAAGGCTCACCATTTCCTACAGGGCCTGTTCTATCAAATATACTCATCGCTGTGCTGATGACAGGACCGAAACAGAGAGAATAACAGGACTCTTCTTACCAGAATGACATGATAGCCCAGTTTATTTAGATGCCTCTTCTTCACTGCCAGCTTCCCTTGGGGGTGCATTGTACCCACACAGAAGACAGACAGAGGAACAAAGAGAAAAGCCAATCTACAAGAAAGAAGAGTAGGGAACGCTCCATTATACAAACGCAGAATAAACATGTTTAGGACAATGATTCAATTATTTTCTTTAACACTGCAGAATATATAGCTATCTTTCTGGTAGGCAAAAACATTAGGACTGCATACATTTCATTATCCTTTTCCTTCTCCAGACTTAAGTAATTTAGACCCTCTCTTCTTCCATGAGCTTCACACTAGTATTAGCATCTACCTAAATACCTACAGCAGAATTAGGTCCTTAGATCTCCACTTCTCCCACAATAAGAAGGGAATAGGTCATTCAAAATTCTACGTTATTTTGACAGCTTCTGCATTTACTTTGCTTCTTTGCTAATATTCAGAATCAGTTACTTCCTGCCATAAAAAAACTACCTGGAAAGGTGAGGAAAGCTGAATGCCTTGGAAACCTGACAGTGAGTTTCTGTTACACAATTCACTACCTCTCCCTTTCCCAAAAAGCAAACTCTACAAAATACATTGCTGTGCAGTGATCCAACACACAAATGTTATTACCCAATTCCACTTAAGCGTTACTTAAATGATATATGTCCCCCTTCCAGTTAGTGAGAGGTCATTCTTCTACACAAGATTAAATTAATCACCTAAAATGTTGATATCATGATCCTTTTTATTAAAATTATATTTCAGCAGCTGAATTAATTGCTATAACATATCATTGAGATGCACATTTTAGAAAATTAAGAGAATAACTGAATGTATAATTGGACACAAAAATACCTGGCATTTTAAAACCATAGCGTAGCAACTTTTTGGAAGGGATTTCAGCTGTACTTCAAAACCTGTATCCATTACAAGAGTATCATATTACTGTGATGTTTCCTGCCTCCTTCTCTGAAATGTTAAGTTTTAGCTGCTGTTAGAAGAAGGTAGTGAGCTGGCTGAGTTGTTGCTCTGAACTTGTGTGGCAATTTCTGTATATTTCAGTGAGCACAAATAACAAGTTAGTTATCTACTTCGCTTCTGCAAATCAGTGAACCGAAGAAGTAACTGCATGGAATACACACAAATAAAACTGGCCTACTAGAAAAAATATGCAGTCAAAAAAGACACCTGTGAATGCTTGAGTCAGCATGATCATCTGCTGCAGTTATTGGGAGCACTTTCTTTCTGCTTGAATCCATTACGATTTCAAAATCTGAAAACAAAACAAGGAGACATTTAACACTGCAAGATGTTACAATTAATGTTCTCATTTGAATGTTAATTGTTCAAATTGTTTTCAAATGAACAGTTCGTTTTAAAAAGTTAGCAACACTGTCACTTCTCTGTTTCTAATCACTTTTCTCTAGTAATTTACATATTACTGATGGCTTTTCTCTCTCTGCAACCAATATAAACAGCTATAGCTTGCACATCTCCAGAAAAAAACAAACATTTGTTTTTGGAAACTGTAGATATAACTTTATGCGAGTGAAATCATAGCTTAAAGAAACTAGTCTGTAGTATGTCAAACCTACTCAGATTTTCATGTAATCCAATTCCTCATTAGAAATATTTAGGAAAAAAGTTACTGCAAATACAGAAAAACTGTTAAGCTAGGAGGTTGGCAAAAAAATAGCAGTATCAAAATATAGAAGAAACCAAATGTTACAAAACTATCACCTGTCAAAGGAGATCATATCCCATTTCACAAATGAAAGTAGAGCCCAAAACTCAGATAGAACCTCGGAGAAGAAACAAGTCAGACAACAAAAGAAGGCTGCTGTTTGGCTTTGTTTCTAATGTATTTTAGTACTAACATGTCAACTCACTAAAACAGTTGGCCACATTGGATTTATGTACAACTAACATCTGGTTGCTGATGCTTAACACGAAGTCCAAAGCAGTTTTGTAAATAAAAGCAATCAAAGTTTTAGTAAATTGACTTAAAACACATGAACAGAACCATCCTAGAAAGTAGATTCAGCAATCAAGGACATCATTTGTTAAATATTGTGTATTCAAAATGTTATACTTCTAATCAATTGCGCCCTATGCAAATTTATTACCACCTTATTATTCTGGGGATTATAAATCTACATTAAAAAGAATATGACAGTAATTTGGCTTCATACCAATATGATATTTATATGGCAGCTGAACATTTTGCCGAAACATGTTCTCATCTCCCAGAAGTTCTATCAGTGCCACCCGAGCCTTTCTGAGAGTAAGAGATACTAATGAGGAGAAATTCTCAGTCAGCACAAATGCAGGCTTCGTGAAGGAAGGGCTATCAAGTTCCATACATGCTTTCACACAGTGAAGCATCATTTCCTTTTGTTCCTTGCTAAGATCATCTGAAAAAGGATACAAAAAATATTACATCCAAACTATCATCTCACAGAATTTTTCATTTTATTATCATTTATAGTCTGTTCTAGCAGAACAAATGAATTTCAATATAGGAATCAAAGCCCAATTTTTTTTTCACTGAATATTATTGAATATCTTCGAGTTATTGTTAAATATACACCATCAATTCACTAATTATATAAAGCCTGAAGGCTGGACCTGCCCATTTATCCAGTCTTTCCCCTCTATTGTACACAGTTCTGTGCATACTATCAGTTATCACAGGAGACTTAGGAGAACGTGGAATGAGAGAGCATGCATAAAAACCATTTATAAAATCCAGACAATTAGAAGGCTATTTATTAAACAAAGAAGGGATATCAGACTTTTATCAGATAATTTTAAAACTGTACTTTAGGAGTACTAAGATGTGCAAGTCACACATCTTAGTTCAGGTTCGGTCACAGCAGGCTCAACTGCAAGACACGGTGTTTTACTCTGAGTTTCTATTCTGCTGAACTACTCTACTGGCTGTAGAGAACTGTAATGTGGAAACCAAATTCTACTACAAACCATTCAGATTTCCTCATTATAACTCAGAGCAGTCAAAAAAACACTTTTACTTGTGATTCTGGGAACTAAAGTTGGTTTACAAAGGTTAAGACTTCCTGTGCTTTTAAAAATGCCTGAACATCTGTCAAAGAACCCCTGGCTCTTACACATTTCTACCATTTCCACAAATCTCTATTCACCTCTCCCCATGTGCACACCTACTATTACACTGTTGCCACTGTGGAGCCCAAGACAGTAAGCCCGATGCCCTTGTGCAGAAACAGATCACTTAGATCACCATCACTATATGTTAGCTTTGTCCTGAGGACTTAAAATTTAATATTAATCATGTTTGCATTCTTTAATTTCTAAACTTTTAACACAATTACAACAAATTATGTATAGTGGCAGACTATCCCTTTTAAACCATGAATGTGACAAAGTAAAGCCTGACCTGACTGTAGTTCGTCCCTGCTGTCCTTCTGCAGCAGCTCATCAAGTGCACGATGAGGAACATATCCTAAGACGCAAAGTGAATACACTGCCTTCAGCAGTTCTGTGTCAGAAATCTGAGGGAGGTACTTATTCAAGCAGCTATGAAGAGTCTCAGAAAACCTTTTCCAAAAGCAGAAGAAAAGTATCTAAATACACAAATAAGACTATATAAAATACAGATTTCAAGCAAAAATACAGCTACCTATCAACGGATTTAGTAGCCTGGTCAGTCTAGAAACAAGGTCTCCATTTTCAATTACAGAGAAAAATTCCTACGTAGAAAAAGTGTGAAAAGACACAGTGCATTTACCTTATAGATTAATAAAACAGGATTATGAATGTTTTCACAACTGAAACCAAATACTAGTTGCCATACGTTACTCCGTAATGACTATATAATGTATTATCAGGCATTCTAAATGAAAACCTACACATGCTTTTGGTCTCTGGGAACATAGTTGAGTCGTGAATACACTCGAAGAACAATCAAAAGGTTTTTCAGGTTGAGGAATTCAGGGTCTTCTGTTACCTTCTCAGCAAAAACATCCATCAGCTCACGAGGCTGAAAGCCAAGTGTCTCGAAGGCAGAAAGAAAAAGCATAATCTAAAAGAGAAGATAGTTTTAGAAGGTCAAGAAAGCCAGTGAAGTGGATGCTACCCATTGATTTCATGAAAGGCATTTTTAATGAAAGCAAAATTTTCAAACCGTAACACCCCTTTTATTTCTTATTTCTTTATTGATCAATAAGTAGAAGCATTTTAAAAATTTAACTTAACTGCATCAACTTAATCAGAGTGGTATTCCTAAAAAATATGTTCTCCAAATATCAAACATAGAGAAAAAAGAAAGTTAAGATGGAAAGCACAGATATTCTGCTGGTACCACCATAAATTCTTTGGTCTTGAACTCACCTGTCTTTTGTCCCAAAGGCAGGCAGTAGAATTAACATAGTCTGCTAATGCTGAAAACAGTTTTACATTACGGTACTGAAGACTGTAACAAGCTTCCAGAATGAGAATTAACTGCCGAAATGGAGTATCGTGGACATTGTCTATAACAAAAGAGCAAAAAAGGACAAATGATACAAAGCAATGGGAGCTGTAGGTTGGAGACATTGTGGGAACAGTTTGGCTAAGGGATGGAGGAGGGGAATAAAAAAAATCAGATAAGGAACTGTGGAACAGACTGAGACTAGCTAGGCAAAGTCAACTGAGTTAAAACACATAAAGAAACTGAGAGGCAGAAGAAACCAAACTGGGTCAGGATCAAGCTAGAAGTGATAAATCAGCAAAAGGGGACAAATTAACAAAAGAAGCCAGGAGATTGTGTTCCCAGAACATCTGTTCCAGGCTTCTTGATTTTCAGCACATCCCTGCACTTAGCATGGAAACCTTCAGGCTAGCCCCTCTAGTCCTGACACGAAAGGTTGTCAAGCACTAAAGCATTTGTGTATGCCAAGCTGGAAAACATGGAACCGTAATGCAACCTCCTGATATAAGAGTGTGATGACACTGACTGAATGCCAGATGACAACAGACTTCTACATAGGACTGCTATTTCATTTGCCATAAAAGATGGACCTACTCCTGAGATGAAAAATATTAAGTATGGAAGAACAATGCTCTCTCTTGAACACCCCGCTTTGTTTGCTGCAATGAGGTGCATACCTGTCATAAGACAGTGACTGCAAGAGAAGAGCATAGTTACTGTAGTAGGATCAGCACACATCAAAACTAGACTTTATCTTTTCCACTGCCAGAGGACTGAAGAGGATAGCAGGAAAATAACTGACTTTAACTCCTCTGAGTTGTGCTCAGCATGAAACACTGTGACATCATTTCTTAAAGTGCTGACAACTGTGATTGAAGCCAAGAAGAGCTGTGCATTAAATAAAGTGATTTGTAAAGCCAGGTATTCTTAAAGAAAACAGGCTAAGGGAATCTCTTATTACTGGACACTTTTACCTTAATTTCTTCTTCTGCATAATTAGAAAATTAATATCACCACTGGGTCACTCCCTTGCTACTGCAAAAAACTCAATAAGTACCTATGAAGTGCACAGTGACTACAATTCTGGTTGGGTCTCCAGATATGGGAGAGAAGACCGCTTTCTTGAGAGCCCCAGCAGCAGCATAGGACTTGGAAAACCTGCTGGAGAATTCCTTTGCCCCATGGGCCCCGAAGCATGCCCCTCCCTCCTCTTCCTATTTCATCTCCAGCCTCTGATAGGGGTCATTTCTGTCCAGAAATTAATCACTGTCCCCAGAGCATTATTTGCACAATGTGCAACATGTAAGTCCCGAGAAAACACACTAAAAAAAAAAAAAAGCATAAAAAATTACTGCATAGCTGCTCACTCTGTGTATGCCATCTAGCTTGTGTACTGGGTATGGTGAAAGTCCTATGGGAGAAGCCAGTGTGTGTAATTAAAGACTGTGTCCTAACACATACGAACAACCAAGGACAAGTAAAAGCTGTACAAGCAGCCCAAACACTCCTGGTTCATTTATGTTAGAATGCTATTTTGCTATCTTAATGTTTCTTAAGACACAAATTCATACATATTTTAAGTGTGAATCAATATATACTTACCACGTATACTTAAGAAACATATTGTAAAGGTATGGAGAGAGCTGAAAGCACTAGCTTTCATTTATTTTTTTTCTGGGCTGCAGCATGAGGTCAGTTATTAAGCACCATTCAATAATTAAATCCAGCTAATCAGGGAAACACTATGTTCCCTTTAGTTTATCAACAAATCACACTAAGCCACCAATCCATCCTGTAAGATGTACACTTCCAATTCAGTTTTGTTTTAAAAGTTTATCTGAAATATTTTTTTTCTTGCTAGAATTCAATTATTTTTCCTAAATTCTGCATACAGAAAAATGCAAAGAAAAATATGTAATTCAGGTAAATGTTAAGAAGGGCAGAGATGATAAGAGCTATTTGATTTCATTATCGATCAGTAATTTTCTGTCTTGCTGCTTGTCAAATGGCTCCACATTTCTATAATATCCTGTAAAATAAAGATGTTTCCTGAGTTTTAAAGGAAATGAGAAAAGGGAGATGAGACAATAATTAGGAAGAATTTGGTATAAGGAAGGGAAATCAAATAAACTTTTTTTTCTTACCTTGGATCTTTTTACTGCAGGCATTCAGGATTGGAACGGAACAATAATTCATTGCAACAAGAGCCAAAAACACACGCAGAGCATTCGGGTAAGTCAAGTGGTCTATCTCTTTCAAAACTGCCATCTAAAGTGAATTAGAGTTTATTAAATCCTTCATTCTTCACATATATTACCACTGCTTTCTGGTGAAAGCATTTTCACCAAAACTTTCCCAAATTCCTTAGCCTGTTCAGGCTTATATGAAAGAAAAAGGAGCAGCAAACAGCAAAATCATGAAGTAACTACTCTCAAATTCTTAATACACAATTATAGCAGATCAAGTGTTCTAGAACTGTGTCACTATGCAAATTTGTAACAATTTGCATTTATATGGGTTTTTTAAAAGAAAGAAGTCTCAGTAAAGTTCATTTCCAAATACTGTGAATACGTATCTTCTACCAACTCTTGAAAAAGTAGTAGAAATGTTAACTGGCACAGCTGACTTATTTTATAGTACTCCAATTACTGTTTTGGATGCACGTGAAAGCTGTAAGCTTTCAAAGTGATCCAACAGCACACCAAGTGGCGTATCTTTAATACAAACACCCAGCTACAAATGTGGACTGAGGCACAGAAGGTCAGCTCTGATGCCACAAGAGACTTCATTTATTGAAGCAGCAATTAGATTGATATAAATAACAGTAAAAATAGGACTACAAAGTATATTGACTATTAAAATACAATATTCTTACTGCATGCGTGTTAAAGGTTAAATACAAAATGCGTCTACAATAGAAATTACACAGTATCAAAACCAGCAGCCTGTAGGCCCAGAAAATTAAGAGCTCCCTTCAGTTAACAAGTGGAAATGTTAAGTTCCTCTCACTTCCATATAACACATCTTCAGCCAGCTTCTCACCACCCTGTAAAAAGCGGTACCATGTCCAAGGTTTTACAATTTACTTGTATCTAATACATTGCATGAGCCCCTTGCACTGCTCTATTCCTTCCCAGTTTCCCATCAGTGGTATCTTCCCTCACTTCCTCGTGAATGCTATTACAAACTCTGACTTCAGAGCCCTTCAGCTATGTGATGAAACCACCAGCAGGCTCTGTCTGAAAGGTTTCAAGAAGTGTATTTAAATCAGAGAATGAAACCCAACACACCCTGCCATAAAGCCTACAGCCTGCTCCCAACACTGTATTTCCTAGGGGACCTTTCACGGGAAGATAAGACCATGAGGTAGGTGAGTTCTCCTGGCATCCCACTCCCATTGGTCTTCTAGCCCTGTACCATTATTAGACACAGCCCCATCATAAATTAGTTTTCTGTTTTCTCATCTCCCAGATGCAAGCTGGGCAAGGGAATCAGGGAACAGCCTGTAACTGCTTCTAGGAAACACCATGTGGCCAACCCAAACAAGAGGTGAGGGCACTGCTATTTTACTGCCTCAATTCCTTTTGTACCACCTCCGTTGCTCTCTGCCCCTTTTCATTGTGGGATATTCCCAGACTCCAAATTTGAGTTCTTCCTGCAGTTATAGCTGGACTAAGATTCATATAGCAAATGCAGTTAACCTTTCTATTTTCCCTTTGAGTATCTGGAAAGAACGACACACAATTTATAAACAATGCAAGAGCACAGGCTTTGTGGAAGTAAAAATGAGCCTCCAACTAAATTTACCTCTAATTTCTTTTTCAGAAAGACTGGAGCATCTTTTCCGATGCATTTCATCAGGTTTTGCAGTATAAAGATGTCTCTGATACTTGGAATGCGCTGCTCCACTAGTAATCTGATGAAGAAACACACACAGGGCCTTGAGCTAGAGAAAGTAACTGTTCAGTAGTTTTTCTCAATTCAGCAGGAACTGGCAGGTACTCCCACTCTCCCTCACTGATGCAGTCCCAAGTTAAAGCTGTAATCCCCTGCTCCCCTTCCACCTCCTTTATTGCAAGGCTGGCATAACTCTACAGGATGTAGCTGCAGCACAGATATTTTGCACATGGAAATAATTATGTACACTTTCTTATTAGTATCCTGATAGATGAATGTTGTTGCTGATACATTAACAACAGGGGCACTTGACCAGACTGCACATGTGGCTGTGCAGACGTGAGTGCTGCTAAGCCTCGTGAATTAACACTCTTCTGCAGAAAGAAAAAAAAATTGCACATTTTTATCACAAAATCATCTATGTGCAGGCAAGTTCTGAAACAGGAAACTCTGAGTCAGACACTGACAACAACTTGGTGCAAGTGAGGAAAAAAACAAACAAGCAGTGCCATGGGCTGCAGGAGCAGAAGGGGTTATAGCACAGAGGGATCATAAGCACACGATGAAGGAGTTCTGCATTTCCAGCACCTCCCTTTTTGGCTCAGAGCGGGGTGTTGTAATTGTTATGTCTGAATCACTCTAAATATACCTGCACAGCTACAAAAATATGAAGTGTCACTTTCTAAGGCAGTGCATTGCTCTGATATTCATCCCTGCAGATGCAGCTTCCTGCAAATGGGCAAGAGCTCCACACATCAAGACAGGGAAAGACCTGTAGATGGATCTTCTGCTTTCCACCAACTCAGAACTGTACACCTGAGCTTCCAGGAGAACTATCACAAACACATCCACTTCCTCAAAGCGGGTCTGACACAGGACCAGAAGTACTAATCCATGGCAAGCTTTATGACAACCTCAGTAAAAACAGTCTCATGGGAGTGAGCAGATTGTTTATCCACATAAGTCTCACTGGCCCAGAGAAAAATCACTACAGCCGAAGAAGTTATTCTGATAAAGCACTACATAGAAGGCCTTGCTGGATGCACTGATAAAGTCTAAACTTGTCTTTATCTTAATTTTTACTTACTAAATTAAAAGAAAACATTCCCTGGCTGTGAAACAGCATTTTTCATCATGACAAATCAAAATACTTCACAAAGTAAGCTACTCTCACTACCTAATTTCTACATAAAAAGAAAACAGAGGCATATATCTGCAAAGTGATGTGATCAACACCACAAAAAAACCACAGTAGTAGAACTGCAGTCAAAATATGAATCCCCTGCAGAGCAGTCAGGCTTCCAATGGCATAGGGTGCTATTCTCCTTGAAACGGCAAAGGCAATGCCAAAAATCAGTCTTGTACAGCTGTTACCTCATGTGATCATTAAAGTCCTAAAACCACAGTATGCCTTTTATGTGCAGACATTCCCTCCACGATTTCGAAAAGACATATATTTAAACATTTAAATATGAAGAACATGTGAAAGATATTTTTCTCACTGTAATCCGGCTTGAAGGGCGCTCACATTCTTGTCTTTATCCATCCCTGCTAAAGTAGTTGCCAAAACTGAGAGACATCGGTTATCAAGTTGATTGAGCTTCTCCTGTTAAAGTTTTCACAATGTCAGATTACTTCAGATCAGTAAAAGTTTCAGAAAAGAAAAACCAAACACACTTTAATCTGTACCTTTCATCTTCTCCTTCCCCCCAGAAGTCAATTCCTAAACTTAAATCTGCACTGACCTACAAGGTCTCACATCAGTCAAATTTAGTTGACTTGAAAAGGGTAGTGATTTTTGAGACTTCTCTGTTAAATCTGTATGAAATCAGGCAGTGGTTTCAAAAAGGAAGGAAATTAGAAGTACACACAAATTAACTATGGGGACCCTTTTTCCATGGACCATCAGACTAATTGAGGGACGTAACACAACTCTCTCTGAATTTGCACAACCTTCCAGAATTAGCCCCAAGGTTTCAGCCCAAACTTAGAAGAGGGATTTTGATACTTACTTGGCACACCCTCACCAAAGTCTGGACAAGGAGAGTGTTCTGAGGAACACCTAAGTTTACCACCGCGTGCAGACTGAACACCAGGTCAGCCCGCATCATCCTTCTGGAGTCCCGCAGCACCTGCTGGCAGAGCTTGACAAAAGCCGGGTGTTCAAAGATCAGCTGCTTCTCGTAACGCTGCTGGTCTTCGGAGAGGTTTCTGAAGAGCCTCCATACCATGGTTAAACAGTTTGTGAAGTGCTTAATGGAAACAGCAGACTCTGAAGCCAAGTCCAGTACATCGCAAGGACAGGTACATTTCCGGAGACTATTAAAGAATGGTTCACTATGATCCATTACAGGCTTCACTTTGAAGCTCCCAGAATCACCCAACTTTTCAAGCTCCAAGGAGCTCTGGGGAGCCTGCTCACTCACCAAAGCCTCTGTACTCTTCTCTGGTTGTATTTTAGCACCTATGTTAAAAATATCTGTCTTTTGAGAAAGAAATCGAATAGGTGATCCATGCAGGGAAGGAAAAGTATTTAATTTCCTGAAGTTCGGCTTTTCCAGGGGATGCTTGTATCTGCCAATCCATAAAACGTGTTTGCTTGTTGTGGCTGAATATTTGCTAGTGAGAACATAATTGCACCTATGCATGCATCTACCAGTATTTAACAAATAACTTATTTTATTATTCATTTTTGCTAATGTCTCATGAATAGATTGCAAATGCCAACTCAAAGTAAGGGATCCGATGAAATTCTACCAGTGGAAACAGTCCCGGAGAAACTGTTTAAGATCACTTATCTGTAAAAACAATTGAAAATTACAGATTAGTTACCAGACTTTCAATTCCTAAAGTTTCAGTTGCCAAACCTATGCACATCTTTTACAGGAGACAAAAAAACCCCAAAAAGAATATGAAAAAGATCCCTGGTAAATTATTTGTAAGGGACTTTTACTGAGTCTCCTATGTTTTAGTCAAACATCTCAACGCAAAGCTAAGTCATCCTGGGTGTCAAATCTTTCTCCTCTTTGATATTCTAACCGAGGGAGTCCTTTCCCACCTGAGGTTTCTCCATGCTGACACGTTTCCTGACCGGGCTCTGGTGGGCCTCTGCCAACCTGCAGCTCCGGTTAACAGCACCCAGCCCCGCGCAGCCCGTCCCAGCCCCGCCGCCGCCATCCCACGGGCGAACACCCGCGGGGGCAGGGCCTCTCGCTCGGGGCCCGCTTTCCGCAGGCGGCGGGAACGCTGCCCGGGGGGACGCGGTACCAGCGGCGCAGTCCCGCGGCCCAGCGCCACGGGGACAGAGGCCTCTGGGCAGCTCGGCACCGGCTCGGAACACCCGGGCGCAAAGGCGGGCCGAGCCGCCGGGGAACGATTTACCTGGCACGCCGCGGCGCCATGACAGCCAGTCCCCTCGCCGCGCGCTCTCGGCGGGCCTCGCGAGAGGGACGGCGCGGGCCGAGGGACAAACGGCCGCGGCGCGTTGCTGCGCAACGCCGAGGCGACCGTTGGGGGGTGCAGCAGTCATGGCGAGGCTGGTGCTGGCAGGTGAGGCGCCGCGGCGGCCGCTCCGCTCTGCAGGCTTCGTGCGTCTCTTTCCGTTAGGTTTCTCTTGGGAGCCTGCGTGTGTACGGCACGCTGCCTCATCCGCTCCCGAGCCAGCCGCCTCCCCTTAGCCCGTCGGTGAGGCTTCAGCCTCTCTCTGCTGCTGTCCCCCCGAGGTGGCCTCCTCAGCCCTTTAAACACTGGCTGAAAACACTCAGAAGTCATCCCTTCTTTGCTAGCTCATATGCTTGACTTGTTGCTTTCTGAGAACTGAGAGTATGGTGTTTACATAAGACTCTTCTTTAATTGGAACAATTAAAAAGGCCTGTTAAGCCCTTACCAGTCAATGTCACAAAATCTCCCATGTGTGGTGTTGTTGCTGTGTTCACAGGTAAGGCAGACTGCCCTTACTATGCCAAAGCTGAACTCCTGGCTGACTATCTCCAGGGTAACTTGCCAGACTTCAGGGTTCACAAGATCACTCAGCACCCTGACAAATGGGAGGTAAGGGATTGTAAATCATGTCATTGGTAGATTCCCCAGTGCTCTACTAAGCAACAAATTTGCTTATCTGTAATATGTGTCTTTTTCTCCTGTATTAGCGCTTTGGTATGTGGGTAGAGGTGCTGCATGCAGAAACAGGTTTGGCTAAGAGAGCCAGCCAGAGGAACGGATTGAATGTTGTGAGAGATTAGCATTCTCTTGAGTCTCACCACAGAAGCTGGGCACAAAACGTGAGCCAGCCTAAAGCTGTGTTTTGTCAGTAAGAAGTTCAAGTTTATTATTTTTTTTTATTATGTATAAATGGCTGCTCAAGCTGTAAATCTTTTGCACATTGTGATTGCATATGCCTTCAGAGTTGTTACTTGTCAAGAGCATTTCTGGCATTCAAGGGCTTTGAATTACAATGGAAGTATGAAAATAAATCTCACATACTTGTTTACAGTGTGGATGGGCCTTTCTGAGTACTTTTGCTGTAGACATGTTGCCACATCTACACTGTAGTCCCTCTGAGGAAATGAAAAAAACTTGAGTATTGCTTCATGAGATAGACAGTACTATAATGTTTATTACCTCTCATATTTTGCTTGACACCTCAGCCAAGTAAATTAAAGAGTTAAGTGAATGGTAATTAACCTCTGCATCTTACTTACCTTCTGCGGCAAAAGAGGCATCCTCGGATTACTTGCAGTTTCACAACATTGCGATCTTCAGTACCACTGAGACAAATGAGCAAAATGACAGCAGTAAAATCAAGCAGAAGTAAGACCTTTTGCTCTTTTGCTGAGGTGTCAGTCTGTCACCATGCCTTGCTTTGTGTTCTTCCCCCATTTTGCACACACTGATACATGAGTAAATTGTGAAGCACCCTGTGATTCTGTATTAAGAGGAATATTCATGTTTATAACTGTAAGGAAAATGTTTATAATGGTAATAGTTAAGTGTTATCAAATGTGAAAGAGTATTAAAAAGCTTTTGGCGGTGATGTTTACATTAGCAGTGGCTTCACGACATTTGTGCAATGAATGGATGGGAACACAGATGGTCTCCTATTATTTGGAGAGAACTGTTGGACCGTGGAGGGAAAGGTCTGCTTCTGGGAGGACTTAATGATTTTCTGGAATATGCTCAGGTAATGAGCTGCCTTTAATACTGCAAACCCCTATTTTACATTTTTTATAATATTAATCTTTATTCTTTCTTCAAATTCAAAATAAAGCTATCCTGCCTGATGTTACCTTGTTGCGTTTGGGTTGTCATTTGATTAGAGATCATCCTTTTTGCTCTTAGCAGTATTATGGCATCACCTCAATGATGTTGAATGAGGAAATGTTAGACATAGCTGAGGAGAACCTGCGGGCACATATTGAAATTGAAAAAGAGGAGGAAGAGATTAAAGGTCTTATCAAGCCTTTGCAGATCTGGATCACCAGGTGGGAGTGAAAAGAATATCTATGAAGTTTTACTTGGCTTCAGAAGAATGCACTTTTTTCTATCATGTATAACAGGTGTAACCATCTGAAGGTATACACAAATCCCTGTAATTTGCTGATTTGAATTAGGTTCTGCTCCCCTCACTAGGAGCATTCAGTCTATAATTTAGACATTATTTCTACTTTTGTTGCTTTTGCATCAGTTTGAGGAATGTGAACAAGCAGCATTTAGACACCAGATCACCTTAGAGAAAACCAAATATTTACAAAATAAGCTAGGAATTTTGTGGTGCAGCTATCTTGAGTTAAATGTTTTTGGAAATATTTAAATAAGTAAAGAGTCTCTTGCAGTTCTAGCTTTAGAAATTTCTGTATTTCTGGTAGTCCTAACAGAGCACCTTAAAAAAATTGTGGTTCTTTTAAAGACACCATTTTTTCAGTGACAGTGTTGACTGAAAGGTATAGGATGAAAAAACCTACAAATGGAAGGAGGACCCAACTGTTTTCATTTTTAACCTGATAAAATGACAGGAATAACAATGAAGGATCCAAGATAATGGTCTATTTAAATGTAATGAGATACAAAAGAAGGATCTTTGTGTTTATTTATGTAATACATCCAAACAAGCAGTTGTTAGTCATTAACTATCATTTTTCTATATCCTTTTCTTATCAGTGCATCAGCTCCAATCTGTTATCAGCTGGTCCCTGTGTTGGCAAGCGGAGAAGTTTTTGGGATGAGCACAGAGATCAGTATCCATTTGCTTGACACTGACGAGTTTAAGGAAGTTCTTTATGGTATTGTAATGGAAGCTGAAGACATGGCGTTCCCACTCCTCTGCAGTATTTCAGAGCACACTGAAATGGATGAGGCTTTTATTCAAGCTGATATCATCATTGTTCTTGATGATGTCCTCTTAAACTGTGAAGTCCAATCCCATGAGAACTACATCAGAGAAGTGAGTGAAATCTGTCAAGTGTATGCTCCCCTGATTGAGAAGAATGCCAAGAGTGAGGTCAGAATAATTTCATCGGGAAAAACCTTTGTAAACCTCAAGGCGATGATGATTATGACATATGGCCCATCCATTAAGCCCCAAAATGTCATTGCTATTGCAACGTCCTGGGAAAGTGCAGCTAAAGCCATGCTGGCCAGGAAGCTGAATATGAACACAGCAGGTGAATATTTATGTGTTCTGGTAGCATTTGGGGAATTGGGTGCATTGACACCTTTGAGAGCACATATTTCATTGCAGAACACAGTCGATGTGTGTGCAGAAATGCAAGGGCAGCAGTGCATCCACTGAATTGCATGGCTGTACAGAATGCAAGGGTGTGACTAACAGGTGCTACCGCTCTCTGTGCTTACCACTGTCTGGATCTGTGCCTGATCCCATGAATGTTCATTCTTTTGCTAACTCCTGGATGCAGCTCTGCCATTCTAGTGTGCATTTCATGCTGGAAATACACTAAGAAGGACTGAGTTGTGCTACAGATCAGGAACTAGGACTTCAAGATTGCATTGGCACTCTGCGTTGTTATTTTGGAGACACACAAAGTAGCTGTGAATAAACATGACAACACATTGCTGTTCAGATAATGAGAGTATAGTAGAACTGTGTTGTAGTATTATCTCTGGGTTAATAAGCTTGCTTTCTTAGGTCAATTGTTACAGTTTGGTTATATTTGCACGGTTCTGCACTGCACAGCAAGGGTGTGCTCCAACAGCCTGCTCAGCATCAGGATTCTTTCAGTGTTGCAGTGGCAGGAACTGGTCATCAATGACAAGTCTAAATATTTTGGAGCCCAATAAAATAGAAAAGTAAGTTAAAAGGCTGAATAACCTGTCAGCATGTTATTTGAGAAATTCCTTTTGCAGCAAAGCAGGTACATTTTTTTTTTAATTATTTTTTGCTGTTAGGCATTCTATATTTGCATATACAGGATTTTAAAAGGAAAATTGCTGTATGTTTGCAATATGATTTGTTTTGGTTCTTAACAGCTAAGTATTTACTAGGTTTTGTCTATTATGTGCAATAACATGTTATAAATTAAAGTTCATTTTTCAGCTTGTGATGGGGTTTCACATGTTATGGAGAACCTTGTTGCATTTTTCAGATCAAATGATTTCTGCTGTCAGGGTAGGATACTGAATTGAAGAATAATTAATCTTAAAAGGGACTTCTGAAGGTCATCTAGTCCAGCCTCTCATTGTGAAAGTGTTTGTCTGTCTCTTCATTAATCTACGTATTTTCCTCTGTTACAGGAGTTAAAGATGTGGTTGTTTGGGGCAATATTACTGGCTCTAACTACATTGATTTGTCACATGCAAAACTTTATGGATATGACAGTGCTATTTGGGGCCCACCTAATTTTCCACGTCCTTTGTTGAATATGCTTTATGATAGGTACAGTGCAGATTTATTTTTTTAAAGTAATACTAAATAACTGCTTTTAATCCATGTCTACCTGAACTGTGTAATAAACATCAAGACATTTGTTTTCAAGATTTGTCTTTATTGACTGGTGCAGGACATAACGGAAAACTCAAATTGAAATAGTCAGCCTGCAATAGAAGGCTATACATAGTTCTGATTCTCTTTCCAACTTCGTTTATAACTGTATTTTCCTACATATTAAGTGTGTTTCTCTTCTGTCATATCATGAGCATCCTATAAGAAGTAATGAAAGACTAAATAGTGACATAGGTGTTTAGTATACATGAAGAAACTTTGAAATAATATTGAACATATATCTGCATCTTGAAGCACCTGAATTCCATTGAACATATGGCCTGAGCACACTAATGTCAGTTTCCTAAAATCTGCAATTTGTTAACATATGTAAAAAGGATACCTGGCAGCTAGATAGCTTCTTGTAGAAAGAAAAGTAGCAGAGAAAGGGTGAGTGCAGTGAGAGGACAGCAGATGGGACATACACTCAGGCCTGGCTATATGGAGCTACCAATCTGGTCTAAGCCTAGCATTTACTGGACACCAGACATTTTTTTTTGTTCTATACTTGTACTGTGTGTAGCACAGAGGGGATTATGGTTCATGGCTGGGTTCTTACATAAGATAGTAATGCGTCATAATCATAATAATAATACGTCATAATAATAAGTCATAATAATAATTATTATTATTAAAGGTTGTGACTTGAGTAAATTACCTGACTTTCAGAGATAAATAGTGCTTGTTGTTACCTTTTGAGCCACTTTTTGTTAGACCTGATTTTTTCTGTCTTTAAGTGCCTTGCCTTCAATAGCGAAGTCTGAATAATTCTGACTACTTTTTTCCCTCAAGTTTAGTTCTTTTTTTTTCTCTAAAAAAATACTCTTACTGCAATCATCTTAGTTTTTTCTTACTTTTTTTCACCCCCTTTTTTTGGTAGCGAATGGATCCATTCAGAATTTCTATCTGCACGGAGTTCACTGAGTTCCCGGGTCTCTCATTGTGTAGGAATGTTACCTGCTCATGCAGTAGCCACTGTACTGAGATATTGGTATCATGACTCTCCTCCTGGGGAGATCATTTCTGTGGGAATACTTTCAGAAGGTAAATCTACTTTTGCTTCACATATTCTCCTGTAGCTTTCCCTGGTATGTATAATGCTATTTTTGAATCAAGATTTTTAATTTAATAAAAACTTGTAGAGCAAATCACGATACAATGGGAGGCTGAGAGTTTTTTTTCAGCATAAGACCCTCCAAATCTAAGCAATTTTGCTCTCCAGAGCTTGTGATTGGACTTGCTACAAGCATCTCTTAGGTTAATACTGTCTTGTTTCAGATTGTCTCTTGGTCTTTTAGTTGAAATGCTTTTATAGTGTATGTGTTTTCCACAAGGACTCTTTATAGTTCTTAGAGCCTAAGCTATAAAAACATGTTCTTCTTGTGTAGCTATGTGGACCAATAAATGGAATGTCTCGCAACAGCTATTTAACCCTTGTATGAAATAAAACAATTATTTTTTTCCCATTTTTAGGATGTAAAATTGTTATAGCAATTGTGTTACAGCACAGGAAAGACCTGGACCTGTTGGAGTGGGTCCAGAGGAGGGCCACAAAAATGATCAGAGGGATGAACGCCTCTCCTATGAGGACAGGCTGAGAGAGTTGGAGTTGTTCAGCCGGGAGAAGAGAAGGCTCTGGGGAGACCTTATAGAGGCCTTCCAGTCTTTAAAGGGGAGCTTATAAGAAAGATGGGGACAAACTTTTTAGCAGGGCCTGTTGCAATAGGACAAGGAGTGTTGGTTTTAAACTAAAAGAGGATTATAAAAGATATAAGGAATAAATTTTTTACTATGAGGGTAGTGAAACACTGGCACAGGTTGCCCAGAGAGGTCATAGATGCCCCGTCCCTGGAAACGTTCAAGGTCAGGTTGAACAGGGCTTTGAGCAACTTGATCTAGTGGAAGATGTCCCTGCTCATTGCAGGGGGATTGGAATTAGATGACCTTTAAAGGTCCCTTCCAACCCAAACTATTCTACGATTCTATGATTCATGTACATCTAACTAAAATACAAAGTTACAGGAAAAGGGGAACTCTCTAGTTTTTGAGCCGTACACTGAAAAAGACAGTCTCCACTTACACTAAGTTCTTATAGTTGCAGACTTGTGCAATTCTGTAGGACTTAATCTTGACACCGGTAAGGATATTTTTGTTAATCAGAAATAATATGTTTGGGTCATTTTTTCCCTCTTCTTCAGGTCAATTTTGTGTTCCTGAAGGAATTGTCTTCTCTATGCCAGTGAGGTTCCGGAATGGTAACTGGGAAGTCATGACAGAATTAGAAATTAATGAAACTACCCAAGAAGTTCTGGGTCGCTTAGCCCATGAGCTGGTTCAGGTGATGATTACTTGTATCTAATAGTATGCCCATTCTGCCACCTATGGGTACATTGCAATATAACTTTGAATACTGAAATATTTACTCCAGATGTTAGATGTACAGACCGCACACATGCACTTATGCATGATAAATACCAGGTATTTATTAGTGTAAGGTAGTATTTATATATTGAAATGAACAGATGACTGTTCTGTTGCCCAAAAAGGAGATGATAAAATAAGTTTGCCTATGTAAGTGTAGAATTTGCACCCCCAAGTTCTGCAAGCTTTGTGGAAAACAGAAATACTAGCTTTAATTTAATGTTTCTGCATTCTGTGCTGCTGATGTTGATTTTGTTTGTGTGGTGTTGGGAGTAGCTCTATGCCAGGAGACATATCTTTTGGGATCCTACTTATGTATGTGGTGCTGCATGAATGAGGCCAGATTTTACTAGAATTAGGGGGTTTTCAGAAAATACAAAATCAGTGATCAGAAATTTAATCATGAACTTTTTGTCATTTAGTGAGACAAAAAGGATTTCATTTGACTAAATATGAAAATACTGAAAAGTCTGGTCCCAAACTCTGCATTCTAGCTTTAATCAGATTTTGTGATCTTCAGTCATATTAGTAACATGTAAGGAGTGTTTTATTTTAACATATTTTAAGTTTGTGCTAGAAAGTACAGTGGATTAAAAGAATGGATGATATTAAAACTGTTTGTTTTTTTTTTTTTTTTTTCCATTCAGGAAAAGCTCATTGCACTAAAGGAAATTAAAGAAATGCAGCCATATGGAGCTGATAAAATCACTAGTGAAAAATATTTGTGTCAAGGTGGGTTTTTCTCCCCACAAAAGATGAAATCAAGTTTTAAGTGAGAATTTAAGTAGTGGATTCTTACTTTATGTCCCTTTCATTTAAAATGGATATAAAATCCTTCATGAAAGAATATAAATAACAAGTGCTTGTCTGATGTATCCTGATCATGCCTGGGGCATGGTGATAGGAGAGGCAAGCCTGCATGGTAGCAACCTTGTTTTGATAAGTTTCTATTGTGTCATTCACAGATCATGAATATAAAATCTGAGCATAAATAATACATGTAGCATGACACATTTTATTTTAGGTTATTACTAAATATAAAATATTTTTAACCCAAATAATTATTATTAGAAAAGCACTTTTACGGTATGTCCTCCTATATGTTTTTGAAGCTATTCTTTACTATCTTGAAATAATGAGTTGAATTTCTTACAGAAAAAAATACTGTAAGTTGGAACTCAAACTTCTAATTTTTCTGTTTGTTACAGTGTCAAACAGTTCATTTAGTATCTTTAGTCTTTAAGCCAGTCAGAAGAAGAAAAGGTTGAGACATCCAAAGACAGTGGGCTAAAAAAAGAAATATACCTACTTTCTATAGAGAAGGTGATCTCAGTAAGTGGCAGCCACATCTGCCACTTCTTCCAGTTACAGTAGATGAAAGATCTTTTAGAGAGCCCTACATTATAAGTTATTAAGCCATTTTTCTTTGTTTGTTAATGATACACCAAGTTTATCATGACTTAATTTTTAAAAATGCACAATGACACAAGAAATTTCAACTAGAAATCTATAGAACAACTCCAATAGCCCTTCCTAATATTTACAACCATGTGGAAGGCTATAGGCTACATGATACTGCCATGGCAAAACTCCCCTGAATACACAATCTGCTTTTCCTGTGCAGAATAAAACCCCCATATCTTCTCCCAAGTCTTTCTGTGATGCTTTTCTTACCTATTTTGCTTTTCAATTTCTCTGTCCTCTTAGGATTATATAAAGGAAAGAATAATCATTCATCAAAATAAGAACAGATGAACTTTAAAGTGTATTTTATTTTTGTTTTCTCACTTTTCCCCTATTCTCAGGTTCTAAAATCGCTGCACTTTCCCAATGTTCTGACCATTTCTCTCTATTTTTAGGTCCTACAGGCCTTTTCCCTAGTTATTTTTCTTTCTCCCTTCCTTCAAATTCTTTCCAGTACTTTTATATCAGCACTTACCATACTATGAGCTGTTCTTCTGCATTTAGGGCAGGCTGAAAAATGGGGAAACTGTTTGGAGCTTGATGCCCACGGCCTTTAGTGAGCACATAAGCCTTTTGGTTATTCATGTTTCTTTCTCAGGAAAGGACTACAGACACAATAAAATTTTCTTGATAAATGTAGAGTTTCATTATTCCACTAATTGTGACCTTGATTAACCCAGACAGGAGATTCCCAATTAGATAGGAGTGTTCTTCCCTGTACACTTTCTACTTCCATGGCATGCTTTTCTGTAGAGCTGTCCCATTTTCTCTTGTGGGTACTTGAAACACTAAGCAGAGGGCCTTTGCACTGCTAGCAGCTAACTGCTTAGTTGTGGCGTACTCTTGTGACATTATTATCTATTCAAGTATTACCAAACTTCCCTGCTTATCTCCTTTCATGTGTAAGTATTTTAGGAGGTTGGCAAAAATATGTACTACTTTGTTTTGTTTTGGTTTTTTTTTACAGAGATGGAAAACTTGCCTACTGGTCCACTTTAGCCAGAGTTGTCTGGAGGAGAAAATGCTGAAAATTCCCATACTAAAACAATGTTTCCATTGCTCAAAAGAGCTAAACTACAAAGAAAGGCTAAACATTGTCATAGCTTTTACAGTATCTTCCTCATCAAAAACCTGGAAATATACAGGCAAAAAAATATTTCAAAATATGTGTGAATATAGCATTCTTAATCTGGAGCAAAATTCCTACTGACTTCAGTGAGTCTAGGATTTCACTTAAATCCAACAACTTATTTCTTCAGTAAACAGTTTCAGAAACATGGGTTAATGTCTAAACTGTTCATATTTCGACAATTTAGAGCAATATTGTCACACATAGCATAGTAGTTTTATAACTCCAAATTATTTTTTCAGATGTCATGAGACACAGTACTTGTGTAAGTATATATTCTTAGACAAAATTGATTTTTAACACAAAAATTTAAGTGCATACATGTCCTTAGTGCCAAGATCATTTTTGTCTCCATGTTTTTTTGTTTATTTCATGAGTTTTATAGTGACTACTCATATGTTTTAAGTCAAACATGCAATTAATTAAGTCTTTGCCTAAACACGATTATTGAGGAAAAACTTTCATGTCTTTGGTGTCGTAAAAGACGGAGATTGTGTTAAATGAAACATTATTGTACTTGCTAATTTTTTATCAGATGTGTTGAAAGCAAAATAAAGTTTCCTTTTCTTTGAATCAAATACATATAGTTGGAATAAATTAATTATTTCTGTTCAAGTGGAGTTTCAAACTCTGAACAGGTGTAGACTGCTTCTTAGATGAGGAAACCAAGAGGAGCTTATTTGTTATTTATCAGTTGATGTAGGCAAAATGAGGAGGGGTGTCTCACTTTCTTAGGAGCTCAGAAAGCTGGGGTATCACGAGGGAGTTGGAAGAGTGTAGTTTCTTATATGAAATGTGTATGTGAGAAGCAACATTTACAGCAACCGAGATACTGTTATAAGTATCTTCATGGAAGAGTTCACATGGGAGTAGTAGAGGCAGGTGTTGTAAAAAGTCTTGAAGAAAGTGGTTAGGAGTCATTCATTTCATAAGGAACTGGTCTCCAGGGAATTAGTTTCTAGTAGTGTATGCACAGAAAATTGGCTGTCTCTGAGGAGCATCTGGAGGCAGATGTCTCAGGAGAGCATAGCAGGGAAGGATGCTACCAGTAGTCTTTACAAACTACCTGGTTTGTTCCATAGCTCCTTCTCCAAGACGGGAGAGGAAAAATTAGCTTCTCTAATGTGTATTTACATTTGGTTTTTTCTATATGGAGTATAATTTGGCAGTCTTTTAGTCTTTGAATTCTTTTATTCTACCTGTGGAGATAGTAGCTCAAACAGACAGCAATTCAAGCACCAACACTGCACAGGTGGTAATGAGAAGGAAATAAACTGTTTCTGCAGTATGTAAACAGACTTGCCAGACTTCTGAGTCACTACCTGAAAACCACAGGCAAAGAATTTATTCTCAGAGGTTGGGAGTAGAAAGACAAAACAAGTATCTTGGATGTCTCTTCTATCCGAAATTATTCTGATTAGATTTGCCGAGTGGCCTGCAGGAAAATTCCAAGTCTTTCCTCAAGGAAGCATAGTAGAATGGAAAAGTTTATTTTCCTAGATTTTGCTTAGGAGAAAAAGAATAAAAATATTAGGAAAGCTAAAATATGGTAATATATTCAAAGGTGGTTACTGTTGTAACACAGTGATTGACTTAGTCATCACTAAGTTTGTGTGTCCTATAAGTAATTATTGGCACACATGTATGCAGGCTATGCGTATCTATCAGCTATGTGTGCAGGATATGCATAGCACTGATGAATCCTACTACCTGGGTGTTAGAGTAACTGTTGAAAAATTTATTAAAAAGGGCTTTAAAATAAATGTATGTTTCTTGCAAATATTATATATATGCTGCATAAACCCTAGCATTTGCGTGTACTGAAGAGTGTACAAGCTTTCTGGTTGGTCTGAACAATTCTTATTTGAAGACATTACCACTAGGACTTACTATTTTTCCTCTTTGTGTAGTTGCACCAACTGTTTGCCACAGCACACTGTGCTTTCTGCATTATTGTGCATTATTGTGCCAGCTTCTTTTCAATCTCTATAGCAACACTGTTTCTCAGCAACTAGGAGATGTTTAGTAAAGGCCTCTCAATTTATAAATATTGCACTCCAACTGTAAAAAAAGATTGCTTTGAAACAAAGATCAAAGCAGTTTTATCTTTAATAATTCAGGATACTTATTACTAATTAATTAGTGTTCTCTGTTTTGACTGCTTAGTCAATTACCTGATACTTTGATCTGGGCCTTTGCCAGGCATTTGTTGTGAACAGCATTCATTTAAAAGCAAAACCTTTAGTGTGTCTTGAAGTCAACTTTTAAGTGCTATAAAACGACCAGACTTCTCTGGCAATGTTGTCCAACTTCTGGGCCTTTAGTAAGTAGCTGAGAGAAAGGTAAGCACTGTTGCTGTATATAAGAGGGGACAATAATTTCAGCCTTTGAACACAACATAAAGTGTTTTTACCCTTCACAGGAAACAAAAGTAATTGTACTTTATTTTATGCAGATTTAAAATGTTGATCATATGTTTGATTTCAAAAGAAGGAAGGCCTCTGTGATAAAGTCAATTGATCTACTGGGTGATTTCTGCTTTACTTGATCTGGCTTGTTTTTTCCTGTACTTTAACTTAATTATGTAGCATGCTTAAAAGTTCATTTTATTTGCTAAAGTACATATTCTGAGAACATGTGTAGGAAAATAAAATACATATAAGTAATCAAATATTACTTTTCTTGCACATACCAATAGGATTCAAGAATAAGGATACTCTTATTGGGCATATAAGAGTATTTGTGTTAATGGGATCAGGTTTTATAATAGTAAAAATTTATTTCCTGTACATTTGTAATTAATTTTTAAATTATTTTTTGTTTTTCTGGAAGTGCTTGTAATTATTGTAGCTGAAAAACAACACACTGACTGAAATAATGTATCAATGAGCAGAGTTAGTCCAGATCCAATGGCAGGCAGATACTGCTTGTACTTTCATATTATGTTCATTATAAAGTAGATGTGCTAACACTGAAGAAGATCCTGTTCACTTCACCAAGTACTACTCCTACAGTCAAGATCTGGGCTCTTCATAGAGTTTTGTGTATAGAAATGTAGATCATACATATGTTAATAATGCCTTTTATAACTTTTTGGAGGGAGGGTTCATGGGTATGATGTTACGATGTTGCACAATAACAGCCAGTTCAGTAAAACACATTAACACATACCTAACTTTGAGACCATGAATACCCTAGTATAAAAGTATAGTGTGTTTATCCATATGGGTAATTTAAAGGCTAGACATTGCACTGTGTTGGATAGAGAGCTTGTCATCTTACAGTATCAAGTACTAATAGATTATGCATACTGTGTAACTCAGCAAAGTCAGTGGATCTGTTCTTACTGGAGTGAAAAAATTCTAATGGGTTCTAATTTAAGTGAGTTTAACCTGTGTATTTTTTCATTCATCCTCTTGCTTTATTTTATGTAACTTTTGTGGAGAGAAAAAAGGGAGGAAAAGATGAGGCAAGTTGTGTGTTTGTAAGTCTAGCTTTTAGGTTGCCACATGTAGCTTTCACTAAACACTTATGTTTAATTCATTGCTTAGAATCTTCTGATTTCATTGATTTCCCCACACTGACTTTTCTGTCAAGCTATGCAGAGGCATATACTACTGCACCTATTTTAGGAGTAATTGTATAAACAAATTTACATGCATATGTAAATGTTGGGCAGAACTGCAGTCTTGCAGAACACAGGGTTTTGTCCAAGCTCTAAAGCTGAGTAAGGAAGAAAACAGAAGAATAATGAAAAAGAAACATAGTGGTATTTCTTTCAAAGAAGGACTTCAATAAAAACTGAGGCTTTTGTAGTCTTTAATGAAGAGATTATTAAAGCAGATCTGTATACCATCATTTTAAGTATTTATAGATTATTTAGAGACTGAAACACAAAGTTTCAGCTTTACCAATAAGATGATGAAAAGCATATTTATGGTAGACTCAATAATTATTGAATATTTATGCTTCATATTTGGCCAGTATAGTGTCATGTTTATGACAAACGATCAATGACTCACTGGAAAAAAAGTAATAGAGTGAACATGTGGGTAAGTTGAGATTTAATACCACATTTATTATTTAAGTTTTAGATACTATAGTTTCCAACTATTTAATTTTCATTTATTCTAGCAAATTTCCTTTTTTTCCCTACTATAAGCCATATACGTGGCCTTTGGAGTCTCATGTAATTGAGATCTGTTATACCTAGTGTTTTTCAACTATAATTTTAACTGAAAGATAGTTACTACACTGAATTCATATTTATATTTTTATGTTTAAAAATATAATGTAGTTTAGTGCATTAATGAAATAAATCCTGAGGGGAGACATTCAGTTTCTGTTATTATCTGGGACATAATTACTTTTGCTTTCAGTGTTGTGTAAAGAAGTAGATTCATGGTTATGCTTCCTTTTTCCCTTCCTTCTCAGCTCAGAAAGAAATGTCAGCTCAGCTGAAAACTCTAGTTCAGTTTGAAAATTTTAGAAAATAGGCTTGTGAGGAGTTGCAATCAATGAATCTTGGGAAGAGTCTGGTGTAAAGGTATGTCCTCTCTGACCTGAAATTATACACTATGGACTGTGTAGTAATCTTGAGTGTAAACACTGGACTCTTCAGTAGTGAAAATTCCCATTTTGTGTACTTGAAACTATTTTGGAGACTGTTTGCACCACACCCTGACACAATTTTGCAGTTACTAGAATTACTTCTACTTTATCCTGAGCAGAGAGCATGTAATTTTCTAGCGTTTCTCTACACTTGGCACCAAAACTATTATGTTATTTTATGTAATTCTGTTTAATTTAATTTCTGAAATGCATCCAGTAAATTGTTCAGATTAAAAGGTTTGATTTGAATGGTTCGATATGTCTCTGTCTAGAAAATGTGGTTTTACACTTTGGTTTGTTTCGTTATAGAACGCCTAATGCCATCTGTTCATTTCAAATGGATCCAGACTTGCAGGGTAAGGATTTTTCTCATTTTTTCCCAACTTTTCTCAAGAGACATTTCTGTGTCTGTTTGAACAGAAACTAATTAATTATAATGAAGTCACGTCACTTTCAGAATCTCTGTGCTGTAGCACATAAGTGAAAAATTACACAGCTGTGATGTCCGACCTTTATTTTTGGATCTGTCCTGGCACTTTCCTTGCCATTATGTTGTCTCATGGAACGGTCAGGCATGCAGGAGACATATTTCCTAATTTATAATATACAGTAACTTTTTTTTCACATATTCTTCAATAGTCATGAAGAATGACAGTATACTCCCTTTCCAAATACAAAATCTCAATGGATATTTCATCTCCTACATTAACAAGAAGCACAAAATGCAGAACTAGCAGTTAACCAGCTGGAGATGTCAGGAAACAATGCACTCCTTTCTATATGTGTAGGAATTCCTTTGTCAGCTTCTCAACAAAGGGTATTTATGAGCCTTGAGGTGAAATTTGACCCACTGCAAAATTATTACATGCTGGTTTTCTGGCCAAAGGGTAAGCTTCATTCCTATGAGAAAGAGTTTAGTGCCCCTAAATAGCCTCTTATAAATAATAAACCTAAAATATTTTTTATTTTATTTGGGCTTATTTTTCTTTGTCTGCTGTTTTACTCATGTGCTCTCACAAGTTAATTCTGAAACTGTGCTTGACAGGCACAGAAGGACCTACTTTGAGGTCACATTTTGTCTGTAAGGATGGACTCGAAGTGAGTAGCAGATGGATACCAACACAGATTCCCTCCACTTTAGAAGGTCATCTTGTACATGGAAGGTGTTTGGGTTGGATCATGTGTGTTTCTTGCATTTGTATTTGAAAATAAGCATTTGGATTTTAATCCACAGCCTACTGAAAACTGTGGGAGTCTTTCTGTTACTTTCAAAAGAGCTTTGGATCAGTTTACTGAAGAAAGAGAACTGATGATGCATGGAAGTCACAACTAATTTTTCACATTGTATGACATGCTACACTACATTTCCAAATAATATCACAAAACATAGTATGACAAGAGTAGGACTAAACAGATGGTATAGCAGATATTGGCTTATTTCTATATCTTAGGCAGCATCTGGGAACCAGCAGAGCCCATAATTTGCTGACTATTAATATTAGCCTGGTACATTTGAGGGAAACCATTGCACACAGACTGGCTCATTTCCTAAACAGGTAGAGTTTTGTGAGTTCTCTCTACTCAGTTATGCATATTTGTTGCTTATCTTTGACCCTAATCAATTGTGAGTAACTCTTCCATTCTGAAGTACAGGGATAAAGAGGCTCTGAGGACAGGAGGATAACTGATAAATCCTTTTCTAGTTTCTAAAGCTTTGTGAACAAGCTTCTTTTTTTTCTTGTCTTGAGGCTCTAGGTATGTGTGTAACATATGAGGCATAGCTCATGTTCAGAAGCCTTATTTCCCACTCAGGAAAGCATCCTTTAGTGATGTGAAAGAAATGAGCTGAAATTATGTTAGGTTTGGGATTTAGTCAAGCAGTTTGAGTGGGATTACTAAGAAGAGATGTCAAAAGCCAATTGCTCTGGTAAATTGCTTATCTTCTGGGAGAGTACCAGGTGTTGATCTTGACAGAAAATTTGTTAAGTGCTTGAAACAATATGCATCCAAAACAATAACCCTGCTGTGCAGACTGACAGACTGTTCCTTGCAGAAGAGCATCTCTGATCAAGAAACTGATTTGCCTGAAGAAGTATTATTTTGTTATGATCTTGGCTACAAGTATGCACAATGCATATCCCTTTTTCCTGGTTTGTTAATAGACTAAATTCCCAATGAAATAGGTGTGCTCTCTATGTTAAAAATTATTTTTTATGACTCATCACGTCACTGGTCATAAGATGATAATTTTCCCCATGAAGCTATTGGAAAAAAATAAAATGTTATAATTTTTTAATTTTTTCCAAATTTTCCTTCAGAGTATTGTGGGTTTTCATCAAGTCCAAATTTGATTATTTTAATTATTTTGATTTTTAGTTTAAAAATTTGGTTTTCTTTCCTTTTTTATATTTTTTTTTTTAATGAACCATTCTATTGTAATGTGTACTTGTTTTCTTTCACAGAGGCTTTCAGTGATGTTCAGAGCTCCGTCTACAGAACAGCCTTAAAACTACGCTCAGTACAAAGTCTGTGCCAGTGTTAGTAGCTGAACAGAATCCTGTGCTTTGACAGGGAGAAGAATCAGTAAAAAATTTGTGTTGCTGTCACCATGAGCTACTATGCTACTTTGCTTTCTCATTTTCCACCTGCGAATCTCAGAATGCATTATGAACACTTAAGAGCCAGATAGTACTTCATATACAGATTGATTTTTTTCTCCCTTTTGAATGTCAGTGGAAATATATCAGTGAAATTCTAAAGGCATGGGAGAATCAAATTATTATTACAATCTGCAACACTGTTATGTAGACATTACCAGCAATTATGAATTTTTATCTGTGTCTTATTATTCTTGTTAAATGTCAAATTATTTGAAATAATCATGAATCATCAAAAATGCATTGACAGTCATTATTATTAATACTTATAGTATTAATGAGAACAAAATAAAATATGATAGACCAGAAATCCCCTGGCTAGCACTCATTCTCCCTGTCTTTGAAGTGAGTAAGAATTCTGTGCAAGCAAAGAATTATGGAACAAAGTCCTGGTCACCTACCTCTCTCTGAAATTACTGGATGTAAATTCCATATTGAGCTAAAATGCATGGAAAACTTTAATTTTCCACCTGAAACAGTCTGTTGCTGAAAATGCACGACATTGCAAGTGAGGTCTTCTGGGTAACACAGAAAAGATTACTCGTTTGTTGGCCTTGGCCATATTTTTTCATTTGGGCAAGTTCTTCTATTAATATATTTAGTCTGATCTCAGCCCTGATATGTTAAATCTGCCTGATGCTGTGCCACAGCACGGAAGGACCAATTCACGCAGGTACTGGTTTTCGTTAGCTTTGTTGCCTAGTCCTCCATGTCTCCTCTAGGCATCTATCCCAGTTTCTCTACTTCTTGAACACCGGTGACCAGAATGGCACATGGGTTTCCAGATTGAGATTCACCAGTGTCTCACACTGATATTTTCCCATCTGTGCTGGAAAGACCATAGGTGACATATCCTAGAGTCTCTGCTTCTTCAGCAATCTACAAACTTGCAATCTACTACAACCTTTCTCTTCTGATGTTAATTCTAATTGATCATGCCTCTGTGATACTGAATGTGACTTTTAAGAAACCAGAGCTCTCTCTTCCCAGTGGATATTAGTTATTTCATGGCACATTTATAGTACAGCCTGTTTGCCCCTTTCTTGGCCATAGGGCCCCTCTCCTCTTTGTATTTGTGCATGAGGAGAAAGCTTACATCAAAGCACAAATTGCTGTCACGGTCCCAGGTGAGCTTTTTACTGAAGCACTGAGCAGTGCATAGTTTTATGCTATCTATACATAGAATGAAAGTTAGGTCTATCATTTGGATGCAATTAATCATGCTATTTTCCTCTATAATTCGGATGCAGTTAATCATGCTATTTTCTTCCCTTCTTATCTATTCCAAAATTACATCCAGGGAATTTTAGTCGAGCTGTTCTATGTTTGTAGCCTCACAAGTTTGTGCTACATCCATAAACCCAGCAAGACCTTTCCCAGATTATTTCCTGTTTATGTTGCATATTGTTTTAGACTTCATTTTACAGACTTGTTTTAGCTAGGCGCTTCTAATAAAAAAGATGTTGAGTTCCATTCATAAAAAGGCAGGGATCCTCATTCATTTCTCCCTTAATTTTCCCACAGTGGATTTGATTGATGTTTCTCTGATTCAGCACATCCTATCAAGTGAACAGAGCCAGAAGGAAAAGCAGATTTCTCTGAAAGTGCAGCAGATCTCTGGAATGCTGGCAAAACTGTTCCAAAGGGTGAGATTAGAAAAACCAGGCCAGGTAGATCCAAGAGCCACTGAATTCACGTTGAGCCTGCTAACTGCCATGTACGACAGGTAAGAGGAAGCACAAAGGTAAATCCATCACAAATTACTGCTAGACTAAGTCTCTTTCTGTCACTCTTATACCATTTGTGTATGGATCTCTCCCATTTTGATGGTATTTCGCTTGGTACACATGATGGGAGTAATATAAGAATATGAGACACAAAGCTTTATCAGAGAAACAGTGGTCAAATGTTTCCAGAATTAACTGGAAGTCGAGATGTCTGCCAGTCCATGCTAACTTTTTCTGTAAACAGCTTTACAAAGAGTAGCTCTTCTTTTGACTGCCAAGATATTTTGATATTATTTCTCCTGAAAAACATCCATATTTGCCTTTGAATGACAGTGCCTATGCACAGGTCAAGAATTTGCCTGTCAATTTTCATTATTCCTTTTTCTCCAGCTTAAAAAGTTCATCAACTAATTATGAAACAAAACTACTGTCTCATAACTAAGCTGATCAGCTAGCTCCCTAGCAAATAGTTTACGGGAATAATAAGGAAGCAGCTCACAGACTGTCCTTTTCTCTTGTATTGTTTGTGAATAATTAATTAATTCAGTAAAGGCAGGATTGGTTTGTGATTGTATCAGATTTAAAAGACAGAGGCTAAATTCATTGTACAATTTATTCACCACAGCTGAAATTTATTCCATTCTATCAGAGCAAAGTTTTTTTACTGAGAGTGAGATGTAAGTGGTCTGCAGGATTTTTTCTTGAATCACTATTCATTAATAATATGATCACTACTTCTTAATGTCCATGTTATTTTTTTTGTACTTAAAATCAATTAAGGCTAAGAGTAAACTGGTGTGTTATGAAACAAAACTACAAACATCAAGAGTATTTTGTAATTGGTGTGGACTCTAGGGAAATAATTTAGAAGAATCTACTTAACAGGACTATCTTGGTCTTTTTTTCTGGTTTCTTAGGTCAGTGCATCATTCTCTTTTTGCTGTAATTTCCTTTCAAAAAAGATTCTCACAAGATTCTTGCCATGTATATAGGATAGAAAAAGCTTCTTACAATTTTCTGAAAATTTTCTCCTAACTGTGTTTTCTCTATAGAGTGTTGTTTTCCACTATCAACACTGGAAAATATTTCATTACAAGAGCACATAAGGGCTTTTCCATGTTTGTGTGATAGCTTAATAAGCTTACATAAACCATCACAGGGGTTTTTGATTGTGTACTTTAGCTTTAATGTTGGACTTTTTTCTATGAAAGTTCTGGAAAAAAAAAATATAAATTCAGACTCCAGAAACTTTTGACCAACAATTTCCCATGCAGATCATACTTTAGAGTCTATATCACAGCTTTATGCAGTATGCTCTGTAAAAATGCAGTTTCTCTAAAGACTCTTAAAGACAATTTTATGTAATGATATTCTGAAGTGCAATACTGCTTTGCGAAAGTGATTTCTTAAATACAGAATTCCAGGATTTCCTGATTTATGGTTTCCAATTCATGTCTGCTTTGTCTTCACATAAATAAATGTTTTTTCATTAGGTGCCTAGGTTGCAAACTTGGGTTCTAAATTAAGCTACATTCTTTATGATTTAATTATCAAGACTGAAGTCCTGCTCCTGCATATGTCCTTTTGATTACATTGAGTTGCACTGAAATTAAAGGAAATTTATCATCACTGTGTGATGATAGAATACAAAAACCAGATCGTAATCCTACTTTCTCTTCCATATTTGGGAAGACTTACCACAAATGAAGGACATAATGTTTTAGAAATGTATTGTGAATGCAAAATTATATTTTACTTGGCATGTGAGGTCTTTGAAGGAGATGCTGTCTTATTGTTTTATGATTGCATGGTATCGTGAACTGTTAACTCTGCAGTTATGTTCAGTGACAAAGGGTCTTAGACATAAAATATCACTAAAATGTAACCAGTTATATACATACAAAAGGGTATGAGTTTTGAAGTTGTCTTCCAACATGGCAATATTTTTTTCTTTAGAGGTTTCAGTTTTTACGTTCTTGGAAAATGTAGTGTAACTTATTTTATTTGTCTAGATCTGGAACAGGTTATGTCAAAACTAGATCTGCTGCAGCTGCCCTAATTGCTCTTTCAGGAGACACTCTACTGGCTAAATACAGAGGTGGGAAATGCATGATTTTATACACTGCTTGAAATACTAAACACTGAGAAAAATCTCCATTGTAATGTTTTTGCTTTAAAAGAGAATACAGTTCTGCCATGCAAAAAGTAAATTATGTTGACTATTTAGTTGTAGAGAAAGGCTGATGCAGAAGAATACTTTTCCATCAATATCTATAGCCATCTTTGCATAGAGTCTCAGAACAAGTCATATTTTAAGATGAGTATATCTTGCAAAAGAAGGCCAAGTTCTATTTGTCTAGCAGAAAAGAACAGAAAACCCCTAGTTTTAAATTTCATTGGATTAGAAAACAATTTTATATATTTGATCCAGGAAGCTTTTAGAGCCCTTTTAACATTAGACGAAAATGCTTAAAGAACTAAGTATAACAGATAAAGGTAGCCCAGTGCAATGTGCAGCACAAAGATTTCTGTCTGAATTAAATGCTCAGAATGGAGAACAAATGGATCACAAGTGACATATTAGCTTCATACTCTCCTACTGCATATTTTGTATTTCCTTCCAAATTACAATTTGGAATTAACAATTCACAATTCAAATAGGGCATATCTTGTATAAACATAGTCAAATATTTTTCTTACAGCCATGAAAATGATCTCATTGTTTCCTTCATCCTTACCTGTCTTAACTGTTAAGAATAAGGAATTGCCATAATTTCCTTGCTTTCCTTCTTTTTTCCCTGCCTGTAGGAAGAAAGTATTGCCACAGCAGTCACTGGGTGTCTGTTAGATAGACAATAAAGGGGACCTTTCTTGGCGGATTTATTTGGTAGGCTGCAGTTTTCATGTAGATGGTTTGAGAATAAGTAGCTAGAAGATGCTTCAGGCTCTGCCAGGATTCCAGTTTCTTTCCTCTGATTGTTTTCAGCTTTCTTCCAGTTTTATGCTGTCCTTGATGGGAAGGTGTCCTTGATTACCCGTAGTGCCCTGAGAAGCCTACTAACAGACTTAAATCAGGTAATGCCATTGCAGTACTGTTACATAACAGATCTTGTAGGAGTATCTTAATTTAGGAGAAAACAGTACATGGTTGATACATGTTATGTTTGATTACGTTATGGAACTGAAGTCAATAGGGTACTCCGTGGACGTAGGGAGCTACAATGCAAAGTAGGTAAAAGAATCAAATTCTGTAGCTTTTCTCAGTCAAAGTAAGCACTTGCACCAGTGTCTCTGTGCATTCATTTTGCCAGAGTTTACAGGTCCTGGGAACAGCTGCATACAGCTGTTACAAAGTGACTACAAACTTCAGATGTCTGTATTCCCTATAATATCTTGGAGTTGCAGAAAAATGCCGTGGCACACAGGTATTTTCAGCTGAACTGATGCTGAAAATCGGATCTGAAAGTGACCCCTGATGTTCAAATCCAGTATCCTTCAGTATTGTAGTATGGCAACATAGTATGTTGATCCATTTCAGTAAGTGAGCCGGAAGCAAATAATTCTGACACATACTGAACTATGAAATTATATACTGATGTTATGAATATGAACAGGTTTTCTTCTGAACAGTATGTAAAATGACATTTCTATAGATGCTTCACCATCTGTGTGCTGTCACCATATCAGCAGAGCATGATGGGAACATCTGTTTTTTATTGAGGTGTTTCTGAGCCTTTCTTCTTGATGCAGATCCCAGCCATTGTGGGAGAAAGCTGCGCTCCATCTTGTGTGGAAACTGCAACTCACAGCTGTTTCTATGGGGTGAGTGAAATTCTGATGTCCTAGGAAAGGATTTTGAATGTTGCTAGTTGATTAAAATTGCAAATGTATCACCTTTTAATATCCACCAGTATCTACTTTTAAAAGGCAGGACTGATCATCATTCTCACAGTATAGGAAGATCTATATCTGTAGAAAAGATACTCAGCAAGATACTACTGAAGACTCTTGCGTTTATTCTAAAACCTTTGGAACCCAGTAACATTTTACATTAATGGAAAATCTATGCTAGCAGAGTCCAGTATCAGAGCTTTTATTAGGAATTGAAGATCACACACCAGTTCATTTCAAGTAAATGGCTGAACTTGAGACATATTTTTTTCAGGTTCTGAATTCGGCAATTGTTGAAGAAAAATTCCTGTCTTGGCTGAGATTGGAGCCTGCTGTTCTCCTGTGGCTCCCCACATGTTACAGATTATCAGCCACAGAAATGGTTTCTCACCAAGCTAGATGTAGAGTCTGCAAAATTTTCCCCATTACAGGCCTCAGGTGCGTCAGTGATTACTGAAGTCTATAACATCCACATAAATAGTTCTTACCATTGTTTGCATACCTTGGAGGCTCTAACTGCTGTATTAAGCAACAAACATTGGGCATAATCTAATTTAACAAATAAGATAGGGAAAGAGAGAACCATCACAGTCTAGTGTTCAGGCCTGCGTCCTGCTTCTCTTTAGTTCACTAGCACAGACATGATTATGGAGACTTACTGAAAGTAAACTGGCAGTTCAGTGGTAAAGCCAATTAAACCTGTGTATCCCATTTCTTAGTTCTTTATCCCATAATCAAGTGTATTGACTGGCCAGTTAAGTTACCTACCTTAGCATCTTATTCATCTAAGTAATGGTATAAAGGGGCCTAATGGTATAAAAAGAATACTATCCATTACCTACTGACCAGAATGCTCAGAAAAACATTTTACTGTTACTCTCTTCTCAGTAATAGTAAGCTTGCAGGTTTAGTTTTTTGCATTTTTTTTTGCAAAGTTGCAAATCCTACATCAATAATGTAGTGACATTAAAGTTCCATCAGAGCAGCAAACAGAGATAAGCTGGTGCATAAGAAGCATATGAAGATGTAACTGCATTCTCAAAAATGGTGCTGGAACAACTGTTTCTTCCTTGGACTGAATTTTGATGCAGCAAATAAATAGTATCAAAATCATTAGTGGGTTCTGGAGAATAGTCCACTGTCATTTGGACTTAATAACTCTTGCATTCAGAGAATGCTGAGGAAAGTCATTATTCTAACAAAGGTGCTTCTCTGCATTTCAGAACCCAGGGATCATCTGGATTTCCAGTAATCAAACTCACTTACATCAAGTTCTTACTTGTGGGGAAGTAACCTAACCCTTCTGTTTTCCCTTACAGGTATCGCTGTCTGAAGTGCCTCAATTTTGACCTTTGCCAAGTCTGCTTTTTCACTGGCCGTCTCAGCAAACCACATAAGAGTTCACATCCTGTTATGGAACACTGTGTGCAGGTAGAGTCCCTTTGTACTGATTCATTTCCCTGTTCAGGTTCTTCGTGTAGGCAAGAAAGCAGTAGACTCTTGAACTAGATTGAGTATGAAATTATGTGTGTATTAGCCATAATGGCCATGACACATTAGCATTATTAATCTGGGAACAGTGAGTCAGGGAAAGGACTAAAGGGGGCTGCTAACTTTAGAAGGAGTGTTTTGTTCTGAAATAACTGAATAGAGCCATGAAATATCATAGTGCAAGTCCTCTTCTCAAGGAGTTTTATAGCAAGTTTGCCATTTGGAGATCATCCTTAAGCCTGTGGAAAGGGCCCCCAGTGTGTCCCAGTGTTCCTTCCTCCCAATCCCAGTGTGGACTAATTAATCCTAAAATTGTACAAACTGCTGCATGAAATTTCCTTTATTTCAGAGCTTTTCCACTTTATTGTAAACTCATTTGTCTCTGTCAGTTAGGGACCCAGCACAAAGAGGCAGCATTGGTCCAGCTAAGCCCACCTACTACATTACAGGGCCAACCTGTGCTTTCATCACACTAGTGGTGAAGTTCAACACAGGGAATTTCTGTTTGGAAGGTCAGCTTCTCCTTTGAGCAGGAGATTCCAGATCTTGCACACACCACCAGACAGGTTTTTTTGTGGATTTATATAACAGTATCTTCTTCTGTTCCAGTAAATGAGCTGAAAAGCACCCATGAGTTTCCCTAGTTTCCCTTCATGGTCACCTTCCTGAAACCTAACACTTAACATGAAAGATATCTGGGTAGCCAAGCCAGTGTCTGCAGCAAAACTAAATAACGTTAGACTGCTCTTTCTGTCACCCTTTGGGGCAACATTAAACTGTAGTCACTTCATTGCTCTCTTTCTGAAAACCAAACCCTATTGCTAACACTGTGAGAAACTGTATCTTGATGCTCAATATCTGCATTAAAAATAACAGATAGATGTTCATTCCTGCAAATAGTCTTCTTCATCCTCCATCTGTGAGAAAGTAGGGGAATCAAATGATTACTGATCTCTTCATGTAGAGATATCTAATAGAGACATTAAAATCAGTGTGAATGGAGAGTGAGTGGGAGTCTGTGGATGTGGAAGCACCAGAAGGAAGGGCAGGAAGGCTATAACATAGCAGGAGATGGTGCAACCTAGATTAGCTGGTCATCGAGATCACAGCATTTCCACACAGCTTTTCAGGACAACTGAATCAGGAAAACAAAAGGTAGCCTGAGACAAAGGACAAACTGCCATTTGAAGATGCCATCATGAGGTGATGATGTGAAGGTAAAGACCTATACCTGTAAGACACCTAAATAAGGAGGCAAAAGACTACAATGACTGCCAGCTCCTAAAGGAGCTAAAAGCACATCCAAAAAACAGCACATGGTCACACTAAGAGGAACCCAGGAGGCTTAAGGAGAACTGGAATCTTTTGTCCTCCATGTCACTTTAAGACATCATGGCCATACCATGTGTATAAATACACCTTGGTGTGTGAAAGCTGGAAAGACTACTTGGACACATGCATGTTAGTGCTTGTGAGTGAGTGAGTATGAGTGAGTGAAATCAGTTTTGTTTTAAAATTAAGTCCCCTTCCTCTCCTATACTCTCTGACACTGAGCTTTCCGACATTGTTGCTGCCATATTGCAACTGGATCACTGAACTTAGGTTTCCTTTATGAAGCCCTACTCTAACACTAACCCTGTAAATATTACTTTCATGGACAAAATCTATACCAAAATTAGGAAGATAAGCTGTGACAGATACACTGTGACAGATACCATTTTTATATCCTTTGTGTGGGACATGAAAAAATCAGCGGTCAGCCACTTTTCCATACCTTCCACTCTTAGCAGGTGCTGTCCTTAGCTGGGTAAATTTTCGCATTGTCTTTACCAGGGAGTGGGCTGCTGAGTGGGGATTTGAAATATCAGCACTGTTTTTCCTTACCGTGCTGACACCTTGTGGTAACGTTATTACCATGTTGAGAAATGACTGGGAGGCATGCTGTGTGTTTTCTTCGTGTTTTCCTGCTCAGTCTGTTGGGGCTCACCCCTTGTTCTGCAGCAGTCACTTCCTGAGGCAGAATTGGTTTGTGTCCTATAATACAGCTACTGAGCTTAGTTGCTGTACCTGAGCCTGACACTGCTGGGACACATGGAAGTGTGCTTTTTACTGTGTTGTATGAGAGAAGGACATGAGGCACAGAAGGCTGTATCTATTAACACTTCATAGAGGTATAAGAGTACTTCTTCCCACTGATCAAGAGAGAACTTAGGTAATAGTCAGGCAGAATTATCATTGTGACTGTGAGCTTAATCACTGTAACTGCCAAAATCCTACATTAGGCATTTCCAGACTGCCTGAATTTGGCCGAGGCAGAGTATTTTGCTTACCTAACAGAATTGCAACTGCTCTTGCCTGTGGTCCTGCATCATCCATCCACCTCAGCTTCCCTTCTAGGGCTCTGACAGCAGCCGTGAGCCTCTTCAACTGTTGAACAGGTGGACCTTTGTTTTCTTTTGTCTTTGCCTTTGCCTTGGACAGTGTCTGCTGGGCGGCACCTGTTTGAAAGTTCACTCCCTTCTTAATTATCCCTCATTCCAATAGATGTCAGCAAAGGCGAACGCAAAGCACTTTCTCCGCACCATCAGGAACAACCTGTTTCAAGAGCGCTGCAGAAGAAAGGAGGCTCAGAGAAGGAGGGCTCTGGAGGCAGTGGAGGAGCAGCACTTCCCTACTCACAAAAAGATTTTGTGAGTTTCTGTTTCCAATGAGTTTGTAATCTCTGAATAATATGTCAGGCTGTGGGATATTGCTTGATTATGTCCTTTGGCTAAGTGATTTTGTTATGAAAGATACCATGTCATGATTTTTCCTTTAAAAAGGGAAAGCATAAATGGGAAGTTGCTGCACATTGTTCTGTAGCTTAATTGTGATTACCATGCTGACAACCTAATGACCAGTTGTCTTATAAAATATAACATGCTCGTGTCTTCCTTCCCTCCTTCCTTATGTAATTCCTTTCTCTTCATGCCATTTCTTATGCTCGGTCTAGGGTCAAGCATTGCAAATATTTAGTACCTGTCACAACTGTATGGGTTTTTAAGCACCTCCTCTGTTACAAATTCATTGGAAATTAACTGTAAATACTTTGCACATGTGACCCACAGTGCAATCACAGAGTCATTGTACTCATGTCCCATTGAACTGCAGTCCTGTGAGGTTACTCACAATAGTGAGTAGCTGATCCCACCATTCCAGTTCTTTCAGATCGGTTCTGGTTTGTGTGCTTTTAGCTAATGTGTAAATTCATTACTGTATTTCCACTGATCATGGTGGTTAATAATGAACATTGGAGGTCATGTTGTGGTTTTCCCTATAGTTTCTCCTTCCTTTCTCTGGGAATTTGGTTGATATTTAGGTGTAGAAACTGAAGGGAATGATTATACGAGACAAGCACTACAAAAGTACAAGGGGTGAGATTCCTTCCTAGTTGCATAAAGACCTAGCAACTCTCTTGCATCTCACGTGTTCTCCAAATGAGGCTTCAGTGAGACTGAAGTAGGAAAAATATGGTCACTCCTCTCTAAAAGAATTAATTTCATCCTTGTGCCAAGTAGGAGAAAAATGTCTTTATAAAACTTGATTGTGCTACACTGCTAGGTAAGTATATTGCTATTAGAAACCAATTTTTTATATGCAGTAAAACCAATGGATGATAGTTAACAGTGACTCTGACAGAGAATATTATCTCAGTGTTTGTATTTTAGAATGTGGTGAAATGAAAAACATTTTCCATTGCTAATATTTCCCCACTTGTATTCAGCAACAAAAAATATTTTTTCATTTTGAATGTCATTTAATCCTCCTGTGAGCAATCGAGATTTCTGTGTAATTCTGTGGGATTTTGCTTAGCTAATGCTTGGGTAGCAATGAGAGAAAGAAGAATTTGGGGTTGCTATTACAGGTGTCACTGTGGGGCTGATAGGTATCTGGGCTTTTTCCAGCATAGAATGGACTGAACAGCAAGGTATCTGGCCCTTTGCTATCATTTTGTAGTTGAATTTCCCAATATATTTAGCTCTTGTCTAAAGGAAACAACAAAGAGAAGCAGAAAATTGCACTGATACTAAATGAGTGGAAAAAAGAACCTGGTGCTGAGATTTTGTTGAGAGTGGATTTTGTTTTCAGGAGTTTCATGCTTTCAGCCAAAATATGCCAGCAGCATGGCTAAACCATACTTCTTGCTTAGTCAATAGCACAGCTGTCTGTCTACTTATAGTGCATTAGTTTTATTTTGATCTTTCTAGTTACCAAAACTATATAAGGCTTGATCCTTTCTCTACTCATTATTTCTCTGTTGGTATACAGTTCCCCTGAAGAATTAATTGCTTCACCACTACCTGGCCCTGAAAACCTGTCCTTCCCAGTGGACAAACCTGTCCTGGAATCACCCAAGTTCATATCTAAAAACAGAACTGTAATGCAGAAGAGTGAGAATAACAGCAAGACACCAGAGCAAGGCAAGACAAAAGCTCAGGTGAGCAAAACATGCAGCTGTAAAAGTGCTAAAGCTATGAAGAAGACCTACCAAGTTAACTATCCAATTACCAATGAAAAAGAATTGTAATGGGCAGCTTCACCTTTACTGTTAATTTATCACTTATGGAAAAAAATATGGAATCTGAAAACTTAGTGAAGCTTGAATTTGATATCCTCGCAAGAATAGTGACTAACTCCTTGACTGCCATGACCTTCAGAAGTATTTATAAAAATATTTGCCCTCTTTTGTTTTTTTCTTTTCAAGGTGTCTTAGAGTAGCACATTAAAGACTAGCTAAGACTGGAGTCCTCTCTCTATTCTGACAGTAACAAATGCCATCAGGTACTCCTACTGCAAGGAAATGTCAAGGAAGGATGCCTTAATTCTTATTAGGCTCAGGCCATTTTTGTCACCATGGCAATAGAAGAGGACAGAATGGGCCCTTCTTAAGGATAAACCCTGAGTAGTGTCCACTCCAACTAAAATAGCTCATGCATAAAAGCTCTCCACTAATCCATTTCCAGGTTCCCTGCATAGAAACAATGCTAGAGGAGTGGGTAGGACAGTGTAGGTAAAAATAAGTACATAGCAGTTTTTTGCTTCTATATTTATTTGAGAGGTTGGTAGCTCTGCACATACTCGGAATATAGGGAACACTGGGTTGTGTTCAAACCAGTTTGTGTCATCTACTCATCTTGTTCTTCTCAGAAGCCAAGGGTGCAGTAACTGAGAACTAGCCTCTGTGTGTCAGGTCACTCCTTTGGCTGCTACTCCTGTGCTGCCCTTTGGAAGACCTGTCCTTTAGGACTCTGCTGCCCAGCTCAAGAAGTAGTGCCAACCAGCACATATCTGCAGAAGTTGTGGGCAGACATTACTTACGCATATAATTTTGATGGCTGGCATTTATTGTTTTGGAAGACAGCAAGATGGGATTTGCATCCTTGTAGTGGGATTCTGTCACATGCATTGGTCTCCTGTTCATTTTCTCTCTGGGCTGAGAATTCTTTTTGATCAGTTTTATATTGATTTCCAACATCTTATAGTACAGATTATTTCAATGTTGCTTAAAAGATGCAGACCATAAGTCCAGTGATAACTTTTAATAAAATCCATGGGCTTGGAGGTCCTGGGGACCCAGCTCTTAGTCTTATAATTTCCCAGGAGCCCTGATTCCAGCCCAGTTTATACTGTGCCTTTAAAGCAGCTTATCTAGAAAGTGTCTCCCTGACTTCTGGGCTACTGTCCCTTGCATGGCCTATAGACTGCTGCTTCCATCCAAAGACCAGTTTCTCTGTTCTACATCCAGTCTCTCCCTCCACCTCCTTATCCCAAAGTAGTTGTGGGACTTGGAAGACACTGTTCCCAAGTCAGAATATTCCATTTTGCAGAAATTCCATGGAATTAGGTTTTTGTTCTAATTAAAACAAAACAAAACAAATTCTCATCACTTAGAATTTGTCATGGGACAAATAATTTGTTCTATAGAGTAAATTTTACAGTCTGTTCTAATAGCCATTAGAAATACTTTAATGCATCAGTTCGTTGCAATCAGTTAAATAAAAATAATTAACTAGTAAATCTGTAAAACAGACCAAATCCCATATTTGCCATTCCCTCTTATAGCAAAATTTGCATAGAAAATGAAATGTTATAGCTGATAAAGTTATGATCAGATACTTTTCTCTTTTTTATTATAGGCAATAGCCTCTTTTGAAGCAGATGTGTTAAAAATGCATGAATCCATCAAAAGCATTCACAATGAGAGCAGGTAGGTAAATGCAGTAGTACAATGTCTGAAGACTGGTGGGCAATGCTGCTCCAGTGAAGAGCTAGAAGACAAATGATTTTTCCATACTTTAGAGATTTTGAGATTTCTAAAACATGGGGATGAATGATAAAAACTCAGCAACAAAAATTATAAATGGAGAACACCAGAAAAACAATTTCTGGCAAAGCAAAACATTTTGGTTTGATTTCATCAGCATTTCTGCAATTCTTAGTTTACATTTCTAAAAGTCATTTTTAAGAGAAAAAATGTTAATTCACATAAAAACATCAGAATAAGATACTTTTCAAATTTTTCTCTGAATAAGGCTTAATCAAAACAAATTTCATAATTTGCATGAAGCATTTAAATCAAAGTGGGATATCTTTCTAAAAAATACGCTGTAAATCAAATAGAGATTGCAGGCTTAATACAGTAACTATTGGTAAAAATTCCATGACTTAGATTATCAGGGAAATCCCTTCTGATATTCAAACTTCTGACACAATAAAATATGAATCCCTAAACTACAATTTCTTGGGTGGTTTGTTTGGTTGGGGTGCAGGGATGTTAGTGTATGGGCAGCCATGCTTACCTTTTTCTTTTTTTATTTTCCCCTCCTCCTCTTTTGTAGTTATATGAATGAGCTGTAGATATAATCATGTCTGTGAGCACTGAAACTGATTGAATTACAGAAAAGTGTAAAATTTGATCCTGAATCTACTCTTTATTTCCTTCAGTATGTTCAGTTCTCTCTGTTCCTGTTATGTTTCATTCTAATAAGTCAATATAAAATTGCTGCTCCAAATACATGCTAGGACACTCCAAGACCAGAGAAAAACAATTGCAGTTTCATTGTAAGTCTGTGTCCTTACCTCACTCTCTTCTCACATGGGAAAATAAAGAGATATGGCAAAAATCTTCAGCTTTTGTTTAGATTAGCAATAGTTGAGTGGCTATCTGCGAAGTCTGCTCCTGAAATACAGCATCACCCTCTGACCCAGAGCTTATCATATAACTGGGTGAATGAATCACATTACTTGTGGGAAGCTTTTTGTTCTTATTTGTGGACGAACTTCCAGCATTTATGTGCTTGTTCACAGAACTGGGCTCTGAGTTAGTTGAAGGTAGTCAGTATTTTACAATAAAGACCCACTAAATGCTGTTAAAATGGACCACCATAATATAAATTTTGACTTTATATGGTCTGGCTTGCTGTCCCATTAAGATAAATCTTGCATAATTCCAGTGAAACTGATGTGGCTCTTGGCTATGAGCAATGCATACCCAAAAGAACATGAACCACATGAACTTATGGATGAACTAAGCAAGGCAGATAACTATTTCAGCTGTGTGGTATGAAGCGATTGGTTTATCACTGTAGTTAACAAGATTTTCTGTTGGTCTCCATCTCAGCCCTGGAGAAGACAAAACTGTATTTCTACTCTGACTTCTTAGAGAAATCCCAACTCTAGAACAGAGGTATGGGTGGTGTTTTTGTCATACTGTGCTCCGAGTAGATAATTTCAAAATCTTCTCTGGTGTGCATGTGAGGGTGTCACTTCTCATTGCAAAAATCATAGTATCTTTTCAAGGACAAGTGGCCTGTGCAGAAACTATTGGTATCATGAAACAAGCTGCAGAGATTACCAGGAGCAAGAAGGAACTCAAAGGGGTAGAGACTGCTTTTACTCCTTTGTTGCCCAGGGGGAAACAATGGGAATATTTTGCAGGTCAGGGAGTTGCCATAAGTAGTTTTCTTCTAGACAGAGGGACTGCTAGAATGTGTCTCCTGTAGCAGCCGCCTTTGTGAGAAAAGTAAAACCTTAAGATGCAAGACTCAGTCCTGGCCACAGTTCTACTCAGCTCACATCTTTCCTCATCTAGAACACTCCTGTTCTTTCTAATTCTATGGATACAGCCCAGTTCCTGAAATACTGGCCTCTAACCCCAAAGCTGACAAAAATTTCCTGAACTGACAGAGAGGGGAAAGTTTGTGCTACAGTGTTTGCTCTCCTCCATGACTCCGTATATTTGTGTGTGTGTGTGACCTAGCAAAATTCCCAGCTTCCTGTGTCCCTGGCAGGTACATGAAAAAACAATTCAACAAATGGAAGGACAAAATGCAATTTCTTCACAACTGCCAGGAAGACAAAAGCTGTGAAATAGAGGCAAAGCTCCAAAGCCTGAGAGCAAGCCATGAAGACCTGCAAATGAAGCTGCAGCAAATGAAGCAAGAAGTAAAGGTATAGTGATAAATATACCAAGAATCTTCACAATGAAGGGCTATTACTGAACACTAACTACTACTTTTCCTGCAGACCAGCACCCTTGATACTATTTAATGTACCTTCCCCTTGTCTGCTCAGTCATCTTAGGTTCTTGTCTTCTGAGAAAGCAGATAGGCTCTTTGTAGCAGGGATTTTCTTGTCATTCTGTATATATTTAGCATCTAGCACACATATCCATGTCCAGGATGTTTAGATACTGCTGCAGTGAAAATACCGAGAGGGCATTCCAGTAAGAGTGAGAAAATGGTTTCCAACAGAAGTGTTAGATACTTCATTGCAATCTTTTCTTTCGAGAAGAATCCTGTGCGGGCATTGAATAAACAAAATACTCTTTTGTCATTCCTAGTTGCTGTCATGTACTGGGATGTAATAGGGACCTCTTACAGAAAAGATTTTATTTCTTTTCAATTGTGCTGACTCTTGTTCATTTAAAGTATCTCTGAGGTTCTAAAAAGGCCCTTATTTCATGGGGGATGCATACAAATTTGCCACCTACAGCATTTTTGTAGCATTTTCTGCACTGATGTTTTTAGAGTGTTTTTCAGGGATGGTCAAGCACAGAGAAAAGCCAAACACATCTGCAGTGCCCACTTGGTCAGCTTTATGTCACCTGCGCATTAAGTCCAGTATGACCCGACATGTCACACAATCCTGTGTGCATACTGTGACACAGGCCTGTCCACAACATGCAGGACTGGCTGCACGTGTGCAGTTAAGTGTCCAGTGCATGCACAGCCAGCTCAGTACATCCCAGTTACGTCAGACTCGGTGTTCATGCAATGGATGGTATTTGCCATTATAGTTCTGTCTAGAAAATTCCAAGTGTAATTGTGGCACTGACAACCAACCTAGTTTTGGAATTCCAAATGTTAACAGGTGTGAGGTGTTTGATATGTGTTTACTATACATGTATATTTTTCCCTTAGTTTAATTTTTTTAGAACAATTTTCCTGCAAATTTACTCTTGGAACATTATTCTCACTTTTCAATGGCATTAAAGGATATAGTATCTTCAGATGGGAATTGTGGAAAAAATGGCCACATAGATTTGTCCAAACTCAAACACAAAGTTGTATTTTATTGCAGGAAAATATTTTATTTGTGAAAAAAATTGCTTTAGTTCACTAGAAGTTTAAACAAAAAATAACATTCTGATCCAAAATTGGTTTTCTACCTATTTTAGTACTACCAGCAAACCAAAATATCAATTATATTCACAATGTATTTTCTGTGTTTTGTCTACTGTAGACAATGTTACAGTCATCAGAGCATCCTTTTGCCCAGTGTCAGAATACGAAGCCAAGAGATCCACATGTCCTGCTGGACAGGAGAATGCAGGGTGTATTAAATACTGCCCAAATAAGGCCTAATTCCAGAACTTGTGCAGACTGGAAATCTTTGAATCCCCCTAACTCTTCCAACAGACCGCAGCTTTTACAGACACCTGGGGTTCCCACTGCAGTGGACTTGATGTTCTCAGAAGACCCCCTGGAGTCAGTGTCCCTACAGAGCGACAGACCTTTTATGGGACAGTATAAAAAAACAAAAGAGAATCAAACATATCTGCCTGAATTGACAGAAAACTCCCTCAGTGGCATAATGAGGAATACAGTTCTTACTCCCACTGCAGTGCAGATACCACCACCTAATGAGAAGGAAGTCAATGAGGAAGTGGAACTGCAGAAGCTAGTGATGAAACTGAAGGATGCATTGTCTCTCCAGGCCCAACCAGGTATAAGCTCTCCCAATTATCTTGACGCTGTCTTCTCACCTTTATCTAGTTTACTCTATAATATTGCTCATAATAATTTAACCCTCAGAGGAATCTCAGAATCTTGCCTTTGCCATTGTAAAAGTACTCCAGCTCTATACTGTAAGGCAGAACATATTCCTGTAAGGTGGAATATAGCCCCTAATGTTGGACGAATTTGAAACAGAATGAGTCAAAGTGCGAAAGAGGAAATCAGTCTCAGCAGTCAATTAAGGAGCAAACTTATACTCATGAGGGCACTGGAGGTCTTTTCTGTTGGCATTTCTGTGACACTGTAACTATGGCTCTAGTCCCAGACAGACTTCTAGCAGTACAAAATCCCTTTGCAATCAACTGCCTTACACAGCAGAGCTTTGTTCAATGCTCATGATGCCTCACTTTTGATAATGAGGATGTAATAAGGAGAATGATAGAAAAAAAATGCTGTTTCTACAGAGTAATCTTAAATTAGAGATTTATAAAGAGTTTTTCAGGGCTCTGGCAGCATTCAAACACTCTGAAAGACTTCAAATCTGTTCTACTTTTCAGCTCAACAGTCAGCTTTGCAGCAGGAGTTCTTCATTACAGCTGAACATGTTTGCAGATCGTTTTCTGACCTCATCAACCAAGTAACTTCACCAGCTTGTAAATGATGGAAACTACCATTCACCTCAGAGCTTCACTGAACTGTTGAAGGTAACTGATGCTATGTCAGACTCTTTAAAGTGTCTCAGATGTTGCATTGTAATAACCCAGCATAATAGATTTCTGCATTTACTCACTTCACTAGGAACCATAAATAGTGTTGGAGAACAATGTTCCTTTTCTATTGATGGTTTCCAGCTCTTGTGCAGTAGATGTTGGCCCAGGTGATAAAAGTCAACATGTCTTCATTAATATTACACTGGCTTTCACAACTGTTCTGCCCTCTCCTCTCTTACTGCTATGTATCCAGTAATGGCTTGTGTGTCAGGAATTTTTATTTTTTATGTGAGAGTTGCCTTGAGTCATTTGGTTTCAGTGGTATATTTTCTATCACGTCGTTTCTCAGACTAAAGGAATGAGTAAGTTCTTAACTGTCAGACTTCTCAATACTTGATACTTACATATTCATATTTTTCCAAACTATGGAATTCATACCTAAAGGAAAAGTTGCTTTGAACATTTAAAGCAATGTGATTGCTTTAGAAGAGCCTTTCCATTATTGATTAACTTACATATTATTATAGAACAGCTAGGAAGACTGTAATATTTAATATAGCACAGTTAATCAGAATGTAATTTTACCTCCAGCATCTAAAATGTGAGAAAAGTAATTTTTTCCTTGATTACTACTAGTTTGTATTTGATGGAAAATATCTAAAACTTGAAGAGTATTACAAATACTTACCAAGCCTATATACACACATACAGGCATATATATGCATGTAAGTAAACATATAAGCTGCATGGAAGTTTGTAAACAGATAGATGATTGGCTTGTAGGTAGCAGGTTGTACTTGCTGAAGTTGATTACAAAGCATCTGTTAGGCATCAGCAGGGAAACAGGCTGGGATTTGCAGACCAAGGGAGATACCACACTAAATGAAACATTACATACTGCTTTGATCCATTCATAGTACAGTCTAACTGCATTTCTTATAATGATGGGTGAGTGAAAGCCTTAGAAATAATTTAGATAATTCTTGGTAGAAAAATAATAGATTCTCACTGCTTTCATTGCTTCTTGATTGCTACATATTTCTTACAGCAGTGCAACTCAGTGAGATACATTGGTGTCTCTGTGATGATCGTGTCATCAAATGCATATTGTTTTAGTGACAGCAGTTCTGAAGGTTGAAATAATGGGTTAAGATATAGCATGTTAATGATTTGCATGTTATTATCAGATGTCACACTACTTTGGACTGTTAACTACTTGTTCAGTGACAACGTGAACTAATGGCAAGTTTATCAAGTGTGATTCCTCAGCAATGCAAACAATTGCCCATTTCTCTCTTTAGCTGTTGATACACAGTGGCTGAGTTACTTCCTTGGAATTGTGCTGTGTCTCTTATTGATGACATCAACGAGGAAAACATTTTTTTCTCATAATGCACAGAAGTATTTTAAAGATCCGAGAAATAGAAGATATTCAGTACAACTTCAGAGAGAAAAATTATAGATTCAGCCACTATCACTGTTCTATAGGAGATGCATAAAAAATAGTGAATGAGTATGTGCATGTGGGCTCAAAACTAGCTATGGTTCAATAAAATTTGCATACTTTAAAGTATTTTAGTTGAATCACTGGAACTATACCATCTTTCCAATAGAGAAAATAATAGTTTTTACAGGAATTGTCCTGTGATTACTAAGAAGATAAATTTATTTTATGCGAAAGCAAAATATTTTTGGAAGTTTTGGGAGAAAAGTCAGGTAAATTACATATTCTGAAGCTTTGTTTCATGTATAATCAAACACGGTTTAGACTGATGTGATTGAGAAGGCCAATGAAAAAAATAGTGCTTAAGAAAAGCTACTCAGCAAAATGCTTAATTTTCCATAGATTTTCTTGGTCTTGTATTTTTCAAAATGAAGATAAAGGGACTGTCTGACTCATTAAAATGGCTAGAAATTTTGTTTTCTGTTGGTAGCACCTCAGCCACCTTCTTGACAGACCTTACACTGTGCTAGTGGTAGTAATGATCATTCCTGTTCTTTCTGCTAGTTTTGGTCACAGGAGGCCTTAATTACACATACAACAAACGATGGTATGCTACTGAAAGCTAACAAGCAGTTTGTCTCTAGCAAAAGAACGGTGAAGAGGGTGAAAAGTAAACTAACTAATTGAGGGATGAGAACCCCAGAAACCAAATAGTGATGAGGTCACTAGAAAGTGGATATTATCACATAAACAGAACATAGTGTGAGATAGAAGCTTCGTAACTTTTGCAATATACCACTGCCAAGAGGTACAAACAACAATCCAAGGAATTTATCTGTTGATTTTGGGAAGATATCCATCATCTTCTGATGAGGCACCCAAAAGACAATAGTTTGCATAGGTCACATGCATTACAAAAAGCTTGATATACACACAGATTAAAGTGGGCAACTGCTTATAAATCATGCAGTTTATTAAGGAGACTGAATTAATAGGTAATTAAAAAAAACCCACAAGTCCAAGTTAATCAGAGATACAGTGCTCATAGTTATAGGCCTTCTTCCACCATGTGGAATTCCACATTTGACATCAATGAGGATTAAAATGCAAAAAAAAAAAAAAGAGAAATAGTTAAAAAATATCTACAAATCAAAATCTTGAACCAAATGTGTCATTTCCTCTTTTTCCCTAGCTCTCCAATGATTCTTCCAAGTAATGTAGATTTACTCTTATGTGTGTGGGTACTTATTAAATCTTCAAACAAGTCTTTCCTCTTCAGAACTGGTGACCTCTGATTATGAGAAAATACCCCTGAAAAGTGACATGAAAATGCATATAAGTAATCAATTTTCAAACAGCAAAGAGTAGCTGAATACTCAGTTTCCCACATCTATGTTTCCTCCATCTTTTGCTGCTGCTGGCCCCCATTTTATCAGCATTGCCCCTAGACCTCTTGTTTTGGTGATAGCCATATCCTTCCATCTACAAGTTGCCTTTTAGTGGCAAGTTACTTTGATCTTTCTCCTCGGTATGGACCTTTTCCTCCGGTCTTCCTATAAAACTCTTCAACTTGTAATTAGCAGAGTCAAAGCACTCAAGTCTGCTCACAGTCTCACTGGCTTGTCACCAACCTCCCTGCACAGCAGATGACATTTCTCACACTGTTTAGTAGCACATCTGTTACTTCTTTAAGGAGCTATGGGGCATTTAAGCAATCATCTCCAAAAAACCCAGAAGATTTGCTTTATTTCTTTTAGACGCATTTGTCTTCTGAAAAAGTAACCGGTTAACATGGTACCTGTTTATTTACCGGACTCCAAATGCATAATACGACGGCCTTTGCCCCACTACCCTCCCTGGCCCCTGCAGCCCAGCAGAGTCGGGGCAGCAGGTTGTGTCCGTCTTGGGCCAGGTGCAAGGGCTGATCTGAGCCCAGTTGCCTGCAGCTGTGAGGGAGGCACACACAGCTGTGGCCACTTTGAGCAGCCAGGTAGCAGGGGTGGGGAGGCTGCTGGGTGAGGATGAAAAGAGGCATAAAAAGAGGCAGAGAAGCTTTTGAGTTTGTATTCTTTAAGTGTTTGTACTGGGAATGTTCTACGTGGCTTCTTGAGGAGGGTCATCTTTTACAGCTGCTCTTCGGGAATATTTACTGTGAGTACAAAAGCTATGTTTTCCTTGTTGTTCCTAAGTCTTATTTTGGCTCCTTAAGAGTTGTTATAACTATAATGTATCTAACTCCAGTGTTGCGATATGTTGGAACTGTTTTTATGAAACTTGCTTTTTCATAGTGTTTGGGTTTTGTTAGGGGAAAGGGATAAGTTACTAAAGATACTTCGATCAGGTAACTGTAAAGGACTATCCCTACTTGTCTCAGTTTAAAGCTGGCTAACACTTCTCTGCTAGATATCTAGGGAAGTTACAATGCTGTTGGGTCAATTAGGATGTTAGCTGGATGGAGGCAGTTTCTCAGATTACTCATATATAGCTGTTCTGATTTTGTTGTGTTTGTCATGGCTTGTGTAGCGTTTGAAGAGTGTTTTCAGACCTGTTAGTAACTACGATCAGGAGCCTAGCAGGACTAGATTGGTTCAGAAAGCAGTGTTTGAACCTGTAAGTCTGGACCTGGGCTACTTCTACCACTGCCTTGGTATACACTGAGGCTTGTTTTCCAGGATGGCAAAGTATGGGGAACTGTGGAAGTGTTTCTTAAATGTTATGAAGTAGTTCTGTTCAGTACTACTGAAAAACTTTTAGTATGGACTTCACTAGGGTTTTGGCTTGAAGGGCTTCTCTGCTTTTTTTCTTAAAAAAAGCTCAGTTCCTGATACTCAGTTTTCACAATGACTTAATGGAATTTATCTTTTAGTTTTGAAATCTGACACTAAAATAATAACACCTTAACATCAGCATTTCTGTGCCACGTCCAGATCTCTGCCTTGCTTTTCCGATTCAATTATATGTTTAAGGAACTACAGTGAATGCGGCTTACAGATTGCTCCTGATTTATAATCTTGCTTGCAATTTTACAAAAAACAAAACCAAATTGAAATAGTGAATATTTAAGAGGAATAAAATGAAAAACCTTCAGTGTGGATCAATAAAGATGTTATCAACAGTTGGAAAAGTAACAGTATAAAGCAAAAAATCTTGCTTTTTGTTGTTTGACTTGCAGAACAAGCCTAGTGAAAGCTATTCATACCCGCCCATGTAGATATGAAGTACACAAGGTCGTTCAAATGTCGTTAGTGCTGCTCTTTGGGCTAAGGAAACAGGCTTGTACATCTCTTTACACGTAACAAGCGGCAATTCTATTCCTCATCATTTGCTAGGATGAGATTTCTATCTGCAATTATTAACAACTGATTTCTGCTTTCACTGATAAAACAAGGTAGTAAGGTTAAGGGTTACAAAGATTAAAACAGCTGGCTTTGTTAAGAAACTGGAAGACTTGGATGAGAGGTTAGATAGCTCCTCCAAAAAATAAAATTTATTCTGTCACTGCTATAAGCTGCCTGCTACTGACTGATGTTAATCAATTGTACAGAGAAAC